TTTTTATTATGGTGGAAATTTGGTGATTTTTTTCAGGACAACTTTTCCAAAATTATCTGGAAGCTGGCCGTCAGGTGTCGCAGTCCTCTGCGACCCAGATTGTGTTCTGTCGCATATCGTTCTGCGGATCGCCTGTCGATTTGATTTGGTGCGATGGGGTTCCGTTCGCAAAATGTCGAGGGCTGGTCGCCTAGTTTTTCGCAGATAGGTTGGCCAAAGTTCACCTACCTCAACTTTTGCCAACCAAAACCTCAAACTTTGGCCAAACTTTCGCCGACGTGGCGAGTCGGTCGGCCAAACTTCAACTCGGCCAAACTTCAGACCGCACTCTAAGCTGTTATGATTTTCTCGACTTCCTGGACTGAAGTGCGAGTGCCATGACTTGCAATCCCACAAGCACCATAGGCTGACAGGTCCACTTGTTTGTAATGGCTGACCGAGCCGAGCTCGTTATGACAGGGCCGACTTGGCTATGCGTTCCCGCCAACAGCCAGAGAAACGGAACAATCCTGACCGTTATTCCATTTTAACATGCCATCCATCACCGTTCGATATGTTCCGGTGGGACAGTTCTCAAGGCGCGAAGACGCATTCCCTAGGATCCTGGGTTCTCCTCCACTCCACTCCCATTCATCCATTCCCTCCCAATCCAAGGTATTGTCTGCCCCTGTTGCCATACATCACTATCCACAGAATCAGTTCAGCTATCTCATTAGCTCCACGCGGCCATCTTGCCGTTTTTCTCGAACCATAACAGCGTTGTTCTCTGGACGCGACACAGCTTGTCGTGTGATTGATCAGTCAACGATACCCCAGCTTTCCGAGCCATCCTTCCGCACAGCTTTCAAGTGACCCCTTCCAGAGACTGACCTTTCGCTACCCTACTCCTGAACCCGACTAGTCTAGTTTCGTTCACGACCATCACTGGACACCGTTTTGGGGTGGCTGTCGGCGCGCTACATCATGAAACGACTCTTGGACGCTTCCGCCGATCGCGGCGACTCGCCGATTGCTGAAGCGGATTCATCCGCGGAATGCTCGTCCCTTACTTCGCTGCTGGACGACGGCACTCTCTCCCTCGTTCTCTCCTTTCTTCCCACGCGCTTCGCCGTTACTTCCGCTGCGTTCGTCTGTCGCCGCTGGTGTCGCCTTGCGCTGCGCGCCTGCGTGCGATCGCTCCGTCCGTCGCCGTTCGTGCTCGAGAGCTTAGCTCCTAACTCTCACTCATTCCTCAATAGTTTTGACTCCGAGGCGCAGATGCTCGAGCTGACGACGCGATTCGCCGCTACACTCCGCTCTCTGGAGATCCGTTCCGGCGCGAGAAATTTAATCGACGCTGGCGACGACAAGCTGACGGCCCATAGCATCGCGAAAGTACTTCAAAACGCGTCGCGGATCGAGTCCCTTTTGCTGGTCGGTTGCGTCGAGCGGAGCCGCACGGTAGAAATCTCGCTTCCGATGTTCTATACAGAGTTTGCCACGGTGGTGTTCCCGGCCCTGCCACGTGAGCTCCGATCCCTGAGTATCCGCTCGGAGCATCTTCTCTGCCCTGTCGCGTGCACGGATGCACAAGTGTTTTCGCTAGAGGAAGCTGGTCAACATGGTAGCCGTAGGGACGATCGCGAGATACTAAGCACGAGAACCGACCGGGTGTGGGGTCACGCGGATGGAATTGAATTCGGTGACTCGTCCGACGTTCCCCCCCCTCCGCCACCCCCGCCTCCTCCTCGTGTCCTTCCGCCGCCCCCGCCAGCTCCTCATGTCCCTGCGCCGCCGCCTCCCCCCCCTGCTTCCGTTCCTCGTCATCATCTTTCTGCTGCTCCTCCCCCTCCTCCTCCTCCTCCTCCTCCTCCTCCTCCTCCTCCTCCTCCTCCTCCTCCTCCTCCTCCTCCTCCTCCTCCTCCTCCTCCTCCTCCTCCTCGTCCTCCTCGTCCTCCTCCTCCTCCTCCTCCTCCTCCTCCTCCTCCTCCTCGTCCTCCTCCTCCTCCTCCTCCTCCTCCTCCTCCTCCTCCTCCTCGTCCTCCTCCTCCTCCTCCTCCTCCTCCTCCTCCTCCTCCTCCTCCTCCCCCTCCTCCTCCTCCTCGTCCTCCTGGCGCTCCTCCTCCTCCTTCTCGTCCTCCTCCTCCTCCTCCTCCTCCTCCTCATCGTCCTCCTCCTCCTCCTCCTCCTCCTCTTCCTCCTACTCCTCCACTTACTTACCGCCCGCCACAGCCCGTCTTCCTAACCGATCTCCATCTCCACTCAATCGCCTCCCTGCTCCCTAATCTCCACTTCCTTAACCTCGACACACCGGCGGACTTCAAGCCCAAGACCATCGGCCACCTCGCCACATCACTCCCCCACCTGGCAGCCCTCTCCCTCTGGTCCGACGGCATCACCTGGGAGACGGTCTCGCTCCTCCTCGCGCTCCTCCCCTCCCTGCAGCACCTCTCGCTCGTGTCATTAGCCTTGGATCCGCACTCCTCGCGTCAGGGAAGACTCACACAGGACTCAACCCTAGCTCGCCTTTCCTCGCGTGCCATAGCCGCATCCAACTCCGACCTCTTCTCATGCACCTCAGGCTCATCCCTCGCGCCGTCCCTCTCCTCCATCCGTCTGTACATAGGCCCCCATCGCTCCGTCACCTGGGACTTGCCTCCCGCCTCCTCGCTCCTGCTCGCCCTCACTGCTGGCCGCTCACTCAATGGCACAGAAAAGCGCATCAGCGACAGCACCAGAGGGAGCAGCAGCAGTAGCTGCAGTAGTTACGAGACTGCTAGGGGCACCAGCCTGCCATTCCCACATCCGTCGCCCTTCCCTCTGCGCGCGTTCCACGCCCATAACTGCCCTAGCTCCACGTGGCAGCTTGTGGGCCACCTGTTCCGCCACCTCACCACTCTGGATCTCTCCCAGTCCGACTCTATCACGGCCGAGAACCTGGCCGCAGTCCACCACCAGTTTGACAGCCACATCAACAGCCGCGTGGTTGGTGGCTCAGCCGAGTGGCAGAGCACCGAGGTGGCGTTCTGCAAGGCCATCCGCTCCCTCCCACTCCTAGAACGCCTCGCCCTTCCCTTCGCTTCAGATGGCATTCTGATGGAAATTTCGCTGTCCTGCCCGAAGCTCACCGCCCTGCACGCGCAGCCGCTAGCGCGGTCCGTGGCTGTTCCTCGCGATGGGCCTCCTTCCTGCGGTACATATGCCCGAGCGAACCCAATCCTTGTTCGCTGTCCCTCCTCCTATGCCAGGACCCTCCAGCGCATCGCCCTCCCTCCCATCCAACCACGGGTGACTGATGCCGGGGTGACAGCGATCGCGAATGGATGCACGCGATTGGAGCAGCTGAGTCTGGGGGGTTGTGTGAACGTTGGGCCAATGGGGCTGCGACAGCTGGCGAGGAGGTGCGGGCGGCTGGAGGTGCTGAGGTTGGCGCTGATAGGCGTGGATGATGCTGCTGTTGTAGCAGCGCTGTTTGGCGACAACTGGCAGGGTGGTAGTGCTGCAGGGGATGCTGCTGGAGCTGGCTTTGGTGACTTGAGTGCCCAACTCCAACTGCAGCTGCCTCAGCTCGTTCTGCTAGACCTGTACGGCTGTTCAGGTGTGTCTTCCACCCTCCTGCTGGCGCTCTTAGCAGCAGCGAGAGAGCTAGCTGGCTGCAGTGAGGAGTGTAGGGATGGGTCGGCTGAAATGGAGGAGGAGGATGAGGACTATCAAGAGAGGCCTGCAGGCGAGGGAGGGGGGTATGAGAAGGGAAGGATGGAGCTGGAAAAGAGTGTTGGGTTGCAGGATTTTAGGTTGCGGCGACTGCTGGTGTCTCCTGAAGTCATTGGTGGGGCTCAGTGGGGGGTGAGAAAGGAAGGCGGATCGGAGGGTGCGATGGGGGTTTGGGGTGAAAAGAGTGAGGATTTGAGGCTAGCAGCAAGGGAGGTGGGGATGTTGTTGCCGCGATTGGTGGTGACAAGTAGAAGGACGGCGGAGCATGTATTGCCGTGGGATGGTTTCTTTGGAGAGAGGAAACTTGAGGTGGATGTAAGCGATGATGATGAGCTCTGAAGCGCTCTTGGAAGGTCCAGAGTTGTGGGTAGGTAGTTGTCGAAAAGTCGGCCTGAATCTGTTATGTTGTGTTCATATTAAAGCGAGGGTCTCGAGAAGCGCGAAACCAAATCCAAAAGGTTTGGTTTTGGGTTGACGAAATTAGCGAAACAGTAACAGCGCCCAACCAGCACCCCTCACCACACCTCGCAATTTTCGAGACCCCCCGAAACCAAAACCTTTGGATCTGGTTTCTGCTTCTTGAGACCCTCGCTTTAAGAGGGCTGTCCTCATTGCTTTGTACATTGGATTCTTGTTCATACTCAAAAGAAGTTCCCCACTGTTTTGTTATTTTGAACTAGCGGAGGGACTTCACCATTGATATTGCATTACTGAAACGCCAGCACAGCTTGTTCAGCTGTTTCCTGAGAGTTTATGAAGGGGTGGATTGCTCTCCGATGTTGGAAACAGGAGTGCATACACAACACATGCATACACATGAATGATTTCATATGAAATGTAAGTTCTCTCAGTACAGTTTGAAACGCTCTCAGTGCAATCCCCATTGATTACCGGATAACGGGGCACTGCCCCGTATCCAGTGCAGAATTCCAAGCTTAGTGCCGTGCGGTTCACACTAACCGCTGACAGATGCGAGGGAGACAAATCAGCCAGCCCCGGCACCCCTGGCTAAGCGAAGCCTGCAGGAAAGCAGGAAGCCCCAGGCCATGTCTGGAAAATCTTTCCGCCAATCGGTTTGGGAGCTGAACCAATCTCAGCCGTTCATGTACCCCCCCATCCATACCAACACCGTCAGTTTGCAGGGAGAAAACTGACACCACTCTCGAGTCACCGGTTCGCGATTCGGCCCACCAGAAGCTGGTTCTCGGAATTTGTGGAAAACCTTCCAACCAAGAAACCTGTTCCGCACAGTACCACACCACATCCGTCACTGGCCTCTTATAAAGCCTTCAGCCTTCTTGATATACACAATCCACTTTACTCGCCTCTCCTCTTCTGGCTCTCATCCGCGGTCATACGTAGGCGACACAGCTACTCGTTATCGATTGTTCTACTTATACCGCAGCTCAGTCGTCCTTCGCTCACGTTTGTAGTAACGCGAACAATGGATCCGACGCCAGAGACCCATGCGACGTTCGCGACCCCTTCCCCTGGCGACGCTTCACAGCACCAAACCGCACCCGATCAGACCCCGGGTTCCGTCCGCATGCTAGCCCTTCGTCCTTCGCCTTTCGCGCTCGAGAACTGTCCGAACGACACCAGCGACCTTCCGACGAGTACTTCAGATTCCAAGTCGCATATGCTGGACTTGACGACGCGGCTCGCCGCTACTCTCCGCTCTCTGGAGATCCGTCCCGGCGCGGGGAACGCAACGGGAACTCCAGACGACGGCGATAAGCTGTCGGCCGACAGCGTCGCGCAGATCCTTCAAATCGCGTCCGCGATCGAGTCGCTCTCGCTGGTCAGCTGCATTGAGGCGGGCGATCGCCGCGACGCGCCGGCGTCGCTCCCCATGACCAAATCAGAGTTCGCCACGGTGGTGCTGCCGGCGCTGCCACGTCAACTCAAGGCCCTGAACCTGCGCTCGGATCATTTTCTGACCCCTTCCGCGTGCGTGGCATGGGTCGAGGGCAGCGAGATCGCAGGCCGAAGCTCCGGCGATCGCGTGTGGGGCAAAGACGATGGCTTTCAATTCGCCGGCTCGACCAGCGTCCCCCTTCCCCCAACCCAGGCGCCTCCTCTGCGCGTGCACTCAACCAACCCCCCTCCTACTACTGACGTACCTACTACAACTCCTTCTTCCCTCCCTTCTCCTCCCCATTCTCCTCCTCCTTCTCCGCCTTCTTCTCCTCCCGCTCCCCCTCCGCCTCCCCCCGTCCTCGCGCCCCATGCGCCCTCGATCCGCCCTCCGCGCGTCTTCCTAACGGACATCCACCTCCACTCCATCGCCGCCTCCTTCCCTAATCTCCGCTCCCTAAACCTCGACACCCGGGCGAGCTTCAAAGCCGAGACTATCGGCCACCTCGCAGCATCGCTCCCTCACCTGGCAGCCCTCTCCCTCTGGTCCGACGGCATCACCTGGGAGACGGTGTCGTTCCTCCTCGCTCTCCTCCCGTCGCTGCAGCACCTCTCCCTCGTGTCTCACGCCTTGGATCCACAGTTGCACTCGCGCAAGGCCGCCGCTGCATTGCCCGTGGGGGCTCCTGCTCCTGCTCCTGCTCCTGCTCCTGCTCCTGCTCCCGCTGCCGCCAAAACTCATCCCCTGCCGCCGACCGAAGGTGCTTCAGCAGCGGGTGATCCAGCCGACTCCGAAACCCTAGCTCTCTTCTCCGCGCTCTCCATTGCAGCACCGAAGCCCGGCGACCTCTTCTGGTGCCCCTCGGGCTCGTCCCTCGCTCCGTCCCTCTCCTCCATCCGTCTGTACACCGCCCCCCACCGCTCCGTCTCCTGGCACCTGCCTCCCGCCTCCTCCCTCCTTCTCGCCCTCGCTGCTGGCAGTGGTGGCGGTGACAGCAGCAGCAGCTTGAGCGGTAGTGCCCCCAGCCTGCCTGTCTCACGCCCGTCTTCCTCCCCCCTGCGCTCCTTCCACGCCCAAAATTCCCCCGCAGCCACGTGGCAGCTGGTGGGCCACCTCTTCCGCCACCTTACCACTCTGGATCTGTCCCAAACCGATTCGCTGCCACCCTCAGCCCAACCCGACGTTGGCTCGGCTGAGTGGGGGCGAAGCGAAGAGGCGCTGTGCAAGGCCATCCGCTCCTTCCCTCTCCTGGAGCGCCTCGCCCTTCCCTTGGCGTCAGACGCCGTTCTGACCGAAATTTCGCAGTCCTGCCCGAACCTCACCGCCCTGCACGTCCAGCCGCTAGCTCGTTTCGTTGCTGTTGCGTCTGCTGCTGCCGCTAGCGGCGACTTCCTTCAAACCTGCTCTTCTTCCTACGCCAGGACCTGCCTGCGTGTCGCCCTCCCTCCCATCCAGTCACATGTGACTGATGCCGGGGTGGTAGCGATTGCTAATGGATGCACGCGATTGGAGCAGCTGAGCCTGGGCGGCTGTGTGAATGTTGGGCCAGTGGGGCTGCGACAGCTGGCGAGGAGGTGCGGGCGGCTGGAGGTGCTGAGGCTGGCGCGGACAGGGGTGGATGATGTTGCTGTCTTGGCGGCGCTGTTTGGCGACACCTGGCAGGGTGCCAGTGCTGCTGTGAATGATGCTTCTGCCCCACTCCAGCTGCAGCTGCCCCGGCTGGTTCTGCTGGACCTGTTTGAATGCTCGGGTGTTTCCTCTGGTCTCCTGCTGGCGCTCTTAGCAGCAGCCAGGGAGCTCGCTGGCAATAGTGGGGAGGGTGTGGCTGTGGCTGGGAAGGAGGGAGTGTGTCACGGGTTGCAGGATTTCAGGCTGCGGAGGCTGCTGGTGTCTCATGGTGTAATTGCTGGGGATCAAGGGACGGGGGTGAGGGAAGGGGAAGGTGCAGGGGAAGGAGGAGGAATTGAGAGTGGTTCTGCTGGTGTGGATCTGAGGGTTGCAGCAAGGGAGGTGGGAATGCTGCTGCCACAGCTGGTCGTGTCGTGCAGGCGGACAGCGGAGCATGTGTTGCCGTGGGATGGATTTTTTGGAGAGAGGGAACTTGGTGTGGATGGAAATGGTGATACTAGGAATGCTGAGATCTAGTGTGATTTATCAGCTTGGAGGAGGTGTTTGTGTGTGGTAATGTGGAAGTGGAATCTAGAAGGGATGTATAGCCTTATGTTTGTGTCATTTGTGTGATGTGTGTCCATTTTTGAGTAAAAAAGTAAATGTAATTTCAAGAAACAGAAGAGCGAAAGCGGGGGACGACCAATCCCAAGGAAAGTTGCGACTGGTCGGCGATGGCCTGAGCTCTGGGCGATATTCACGTAACCCTTCGTTCAAAGCTGGGGACTTTTGGCGAACCCGAACGCCAACAGCCAAGGTCGAAACAGCCATGTACAAGAGTAGTCTCGGCTAGTATGGACATGGTGCTTGTGCTATGTAGGAAGTGGGGAGTGTGGTGAGCGGGTCAGCAGCCGGGCGGAGGCAGCACGAGTGTACATTCTGCTGAGCTTTCCCTTCCTGTCGAGAATTCAGCGTTCTCGCCGTGCCTCCTAAGAAAGCCTGGTGCTCCGCGTGTAGTTTCCCTCGCCCGGCAATGAAGGTGATCGGCCTCACGGGCGGAATAGCAAGCGGGAAGAGCTCCGTGTGTCAGGAGCTCAAGTCGCGGTTCGGATTTCCCGTGATTGACGCTGACAAGACCGCACATGTACGTGTTCTTTGTTCGTCGCCTCTGCGTGAGGAGTCTATTTTTTAGGCGCCTCAAAAATAGGCTCCTCACGCTCTTAGTTCCTCGCCTCTGCTCTTCTGGTAGGAGTCGCGATTTCGTTTCAAGATGACTCGTGGGGAGCACGATTCATCTAGATGTCCCACGTGGGTTCTGGATTCCTTTCCTCGCCCTGATTCCCATTCAGTTCTACCGTTGTTCATGAGAGCTGGCCCGAGATGGCTGTACCGCCCATCCACTTCCGGTATCTTCTTCTCCAGTGATTGTCAACACTGGCCTTGCTGTTTCCTCGTGACATTTCATGTGAAAGAAGCTGTTCCTTTCGTCGTCCAATCCCCCCCTTTCCCCGACCCCACCTATCAGGATGTGATGCGGAAGGGCACCCCGGCGCATGCTCAAGTGGTGGGGGAGTTTGGGCCTTCGGTGCTGACGTCAGACGGGGAGATCGATCGCAACAAGCTGGGGGAGATTGTCTTTGTTGACGCCGGCAAGAGGAAGAGGCTCAACAGGTGAGGCCTAAGGTGGAGCTGGTGGCAGTATGGTAAGGTTGCATCATCATTTACCCCCATATTATGTTACAGTGAGTTTTCATTACCTCTCTCCCTGCCTTAATAGAGCAGGCTATTGCCGACCTTTTTCATTGCATCTTCATCTTGCCTGCTGCAGTTCATTCCCTCAGTGCTTATCCATTCCCTCTATTCTTCATCCCATTTCACCCCTCCAGCATCATGCACCCCCACATTGCCTATGCCATCGCACGTCAGCTCTTCTCACATTGGTTGGCCAACAACCCACTGGTCATTCTAGATGCTCCCCTCTTGTACGAAACCGGCCTTAATCGTGTCACAAGAGCAGTGATTGCTGTCTTTTGTGAGAAGGAGCAGCAGGTGGAGCGTTTGATGAAGCGCAATGACCTGCAGGAAGATGACGCTCGACGGAGAGTGGCTGCTCAAATGCCACTGGAGCTCAAAGTGAAGCGTGCCGATTATGTGATAGACAATACAGGCGAAAGGCGTGATACGTTGGAAAATGTTGCAAGAGTAGCGAAGTCTGTGGTGAGCAACCACAATAGTGTGGCTGATTGGTTGCTTGCACCTAGAAGCGTGGCCCTTGGTGTACTAGCCGTACTCACAATTGCTGGCTGTACTTTCTTGTACTTGACATAATGAGTTTCTTTCTTGCGTAGTTCGCTACCTTGGTCACATACTTTAGGCTTCCTATGGATTCTCACTAAGCAATGTGAATCGTTTTTTAGCGAGTAACTTTGCTGTTCAACTGATTCCTTCCTTCGAAGCTTCTTCATTCTCGACTTGAGGAAGATGGGTTCAAGCAGCGAGCATACTTGTCTAGCATTCTTGTCGTGGGTCAACTTGTATTGCTTCCCCAGTTTCCCGCCATTTGACATGTTGAATGCCTACATCTGCTCTTGTGAGATGGACAAGAGAACATTATGCGACTTGTAGGAGGGGCAGCATCAGTATTTTAGGTAATGGTTTACCATAACGCGCTTCTCGATGCGGTGCTTGTGCCAGCGGGTCTGCTGTTACTTGCGTCGTATCATGTCTGGCTGCTCGCTCAAATAAAGCGCAGACCTCTCGCCACTGTCTTTGGCGCTGCTCACGCAAACCGTCGCACTTGGGTGCAGTGCGTGATGAAGGCACGTACAATCTCACCAACGTCCCAAACCTTCCTGAAATTTAGGCGTTGTAGTACGTCTCGTTTTTGCTGACTAAAGAGAAGAATTCGTGAAGCTGACGGGTTTTTCTTATCCCATCCATCAGGACAGCAACGCCACCAATGGCATGCTGGCAGTTCAATCTCTCCGAAACTCCATCATGGCGTGTGTCTTACTGGCTTCCACGTCAGCTATTGGTGCAGTTGCAATCGCTACAATCCTTACCAGTATCCGCCTTGACAACCTTCAAGAAGCTCTGTCTTCTCTGACCATTGGATCAGCCTCATCTGACCTGCTGCTTCTGAAAGTCTTTTGTATATTCCTCTGCTTCCTCTTCGCATTTCTGTGCCACACCCAGGTGCGTTTGTGTCGATCTACATCATTGTCCTTTCCAAAGTCTTTTCTCCATTCTGTTAGCCTCTTGGTTCTTGAAGTTGCGTTTCCTCCTGTTCTCAAAGGTTGTGGATTTATGCTCAACCGTAGCTTCCCTGCGTTCCCCCTTGCCAATCACAGGCCATCCGATTCCTCAGTCATGTGAATTTCCTTATCACGATCCCCATTGATCCTGTGACTTCTCCTGGTCTCTCAATCGCGTATGTGCAAAGAGTTCTTGCACGAGGAGACAACTTCTTGACCGTGGGCAACCGCTCATTCTACTTCCTTCTCCCTCTTGCTCTTTGGTTCTTTGGCCCTATTCCGATGTTCCTCTCATCCGTTATTATGGTGGCTGTACTCAGCATCTCAGATTTTTCGCGTGATTTTCTTGTCATCCTTACACCCGAGGCCCTAACACGACAGGATCCATAAATCAGCGTGGATGTGCTCAGTGTCTGTGCTTATCTGGTGCATCTGCAGGATGTATACATGTGACGCATACGTTTTTACAAGGTTGTACATGATTGCTCCACACAGGTGTAGATGGGTAGTCACATTGGCTGATGACTAACAAGGCCAATGCGGATTTGTTTTTATATGGACCATGTCTTACTCTGGATCTATGCTAACAGCCACCACCAACAGCAGTACTCTGGGTATGTGTGATTATGTGAACAAAATAGAATCACGTGTTCTATCCCAAGACACACGGTATAGCGACATAATGTTATAGAATTTATTAGGAAGGCGAACTTCACGCGATCAAGAGTTGAAAGGTGCTATTGTTGCTTAGTACAATGCTTCTGTTGTTTCTTATAAAAAAAATCTAGATGTTTCTTCGTGGTGTTTTGTTATGTTTAGGCCTGGTTACCCACAGACGCGTATGCGCGTGCCCTGTTCAGACCTCCCCCCTCAGTTGCCATGCCAGCCTTTACAGCGTGACTGCTGCTGCTTGCACATCTCGTCGTTGCCCCTGGTTTTAGGGTTGAGCAAGCCGACTCCTTTCGCCCAACAGCAACACTTAGTACAGCGGCACAGCAGGGCAGCACGAGCAGCAGCAGCAAGACAAGCCCAACACGCACTGAAATACAGACGCTCGCCTCTTCCTTGCGTTGTTCGCCCGAATCGCGATGCCTCTCCTTCCAGCCACCGAACATCTTGGATGCATGGCCAAGCGCCACTTGAAAGTTGAAAGCCACAGTTCCTTGACGGACTCGTTATCGCTCGCTGGTACAGTACGGGGGGGGAGGTGTGATGCGTCGGTTGGAGCATATGCAGATTTCCACCCTCCGATCAATTGACTAGGAAGCCGCCACGAGGCGTGGGACACACCACGTCAAAACGCCACCATTCCGGTTTCCGTCAGTGCACCCCACAGTTCGTCCGTTTTCGACAGGACACTTGCAAGTGCGGCGCGAGACCTCGGGAATGCCAGATACACCTCGTCGGTACCGTCCCGACAGGTGGGACAGGCTGGGACAGGCTGGCTGGCAATCTTCCGGTAGCTGCTGCTGCTCACTAGATACACTGTATACAGTTGTCGATCGTTGACTTCTCGGCGTGTACTGTACTGTACTCGATACACGCTGCACCGTCGCGTCGTTCACATTGCCAAACGGTACTATCATTGCCGCACGCAGCTCGACAGTGTCGCAGCGCCAGCCTGGCGGCAGCGGCAACTGGGAGGGCAACAGGCAGCAGGCAGCACGCAACAGGCATCCTTGCTGATTGAGAGACCTTCGATTCGTATGGCGAAATTCTTGGTTTCCGGCCTCTTGGTTTCATCGGCTTTTAGGGGTTCAGCTGAGCGCCAAGGGTGCGCCGGGGGGCCAAGGAGCGCCCAGCGAAGCTAAGCCAGATTCTTTCGCGGTTCGCTTCGAAAACAGAGCGAGATTCTCTTCGTCTTCCCCCCTCGCGGTTTTATAGCGACCTAGAGCTTCTCATCATGACGAATCCCACATCAGCAACGTTTTGGGTGACACCTCTCCCCTCGAGCTTGCGAGGTCGGAGCGAGTCTGAGTCCGAGTCAAAACTCGAGCTCTCATGGCGGCCTCCCAGGTGCTTCAAGGGCTCGTGAGGAGGCAGCGGAAGCGGGAAGCAGGCGTGATGACTTCAGTGATCATGAAGGATGTGGAAATCCGCGTTAAGAGCGAGGCGCCGCTGGAAACCAAGAATTCTGTCGCCGAAATCCCTCTTAGAAAGCACGAGCAACCGCACCCGAGCCAGTTTTCAATGTTAACGAATCGCCGTGAGCAGCCGCCAGGCAGCGATTTCCAGACGGGAGCCGGGTTTCACAGCCTTAGCCTATCCATGGCGGAGCGCAGCTCTCGGCCCGTCATTGACAGTGACAATTTTGTCTGTACGGCGGAGCACCCAGTGATCGTATCACCACCCGCGGCGGGAGCAGCAGTCAACCCGCCCGTCCCGGAGACAGCTCAGAAAACGGAGGAGCGCGCGGCGTGGGAAAAAATCCTGCAGGCAGCGGCGGCGCATGATCTCGACGGAGATCGTGTGCTGCCCGTCAAACCCGGCGGTCTCGGTAGCGGTCTCGGTGGCGGTCTCGGTCAGCCTCAGGGTCCACGTCTCAATCTCTGTCTCGGTCGCAATTTCAGTCGCGATTACAGTCTTGGCATCGGTCTCGCGGGGCCAGAGTCGCCAGACTCGACTTTGCCGGAGCCAGCCGCGTGCAACACGCGGCGTGACGATGACGGCCAGCAGCAGCCAAGGAAGCGTCAACGGGTCGTGAACGAGCAACAGCCGCCGGAGCCTCGCCGGGGATCCCTACCCACTGCAAGAAGCGCGACGGCGGACGCTTACCTGCCGGACGCGGCTTTCTTGCCGGATGCGGTTTTCTTGCCGGACGCGGCTTTCTTGCCGGACGCGGTTTTCTTGCCGGACGCGGCTCTCCTGCCGGCTGCGGTCAGCACGGCGGTGACGGCGCAGAGGGATATCGCGTCGCTCATGCTTTCCAGCGGCCGGTTTCACAACGGGCCGGTAGTAACCTCGAGGTTGGGTGATCAGTGCTGCTCTACGGGGGTTGCCAATGCGAGGGCCTCGGTGATGAATCCCAGTGGGATGCGAGGGCCTGATGCGGCCGCTGTAGCGGTTATTCGTGCGAATCCTAGCGAAATCCTGAACATCCGTGAACCTTCTGCAAGCATCTGCAATTCCCTGGCGAAGATTCGCGATACCTTTAGTCTTCGCGAGGCTCGGCTTGTGGGGCGGCTGCAGGAGGCGCAGGAGCGGGCGGAGAGCGAGAGCAGGCGAGCGGCGCAGCTAGAGGGGCAGGTGGCGCAGATGATGCGCCGCATGGGGGAGGCGCAGCGCCTGGTGGCGGGGCTGGCGCTGAAGAACGCGGAGCTGCAGGGGGAGATGGCGCAGCTGATGCTGGCGCACATGGTGGTGGGGCTGGCGGAAGCAGGAGGGGGGGGAGGTCTGTTGGGGGATGGGGAGGGGCGGCGGGAAGAGGGGGGGGGATGGAGGAAGGGCGAGGGGACAGTGAGGAGGTGGTTCAGCCCTCGGGGCGGTAGGAGAGGGCGCAATCCGTGGATTTGCCTTTAAAGTAGACTCGATGGAAGAATGGCATCGGATCGGGAGAGCTAGGAGGTCATTCAGCCCTCGGGTCGTTAGGCTAGGTTGCGGTGAGCTACGGATAGCTTGTGGGTAGCCACGGATTTACGGTAGGTTGGGCGGTATGCTGAGATAGAACACAGCCTAGGAGGCCGAAGCCAGTCATGCTTCCTCCGTACCGACTGGCTGTTCTACACAGCTTTTCCCCCCCGTGCTGACACTCGTGACGCAGGAGTGCGGGGAGAACCATTGCGGCTGTTGCAGCCTTCATGGTTGTGGCGGATTGCAGCAGCCTTGTGGCTTTTTTCGCCTTTCCTGAAGGGAAAGTTTTCCGGCCAGACTCTGGGAGGGAGGGAGGGTAGGCAGACGAACTATTCCCCAACTGCAATCGGTAGGCAATCCTTCATGTGCTTGCTGCATTGTATGTAGCGGTTAAGCTCTATATACAAACATCATCCTCCCTATGTACATATGATACAACGCTTTTGATGTGTATGCTCAACTGGCAAAGCCATTGCGACTTCTCTACCCACTGCCAGCTATGCCAGATCCTCATCTTGATCCCACCGAAGTATGCTCTACCTGGCTACAGCGCTCAGCCCTCCCAGGCACACACCACTCGCACCCCATCACGGCATCATCTTCCAGCTCTGCACAGCCTATGCCGCCTCATCTCCCTCTCACCCCATCAAAGTACGCCTGTGCCCCGCCCAGCTGCCACTGGTCAGTTCTTAGAAAGATACAATGGGCAGCTGGTCAGTCGGACCGACCAGCTGCCTCCGATGACTGATCCGATCCAGTGCAACATGTCAATGCCACCTCTCTATCCCCCTCCAGCCTTGCCTCTTCTCCCTCTCATCCCATCACAATATACCTGCGCTGTGCCCAGTCTGGCCACCAGTGGCCAGCCCTCATTGCCACATGCAAGAATCCAACCGCACCACACACCCACCCACCGTACTCTCATCCAAACCACCCCTCTACCCACCCCCAGCCTTTCCTCGTCTTCCTCTGATCGCATCACAATACGCCTGCGCCCAGCCTGCCTACCCATGGCCAGCCCATCCAACCGCACCAAACACCCAACCCGTTGCCCTCATCCACGCCACCCCTCTACCCACCCCCAGCCTTCCCGCAGCTTCCCCTGATCCCATCAAAGTACGCCTGCGCCCGGCCCGGCTGCCAGTGGTCAGCCCTCATGGCCACATGCCCATCCGGCCTCACCAGGTAGAACGGGCATGCATCCCCGTGGTACCTCTCGTATGCATACCCATGCGCATCCACACACATGCTCACATGCTCCCATGTGTCAAAAGGGCTGGCACTGCTGCTGCTGCTGCTGCTACCACTGCTGCTGGCCAATCCCTCCTTGCCATGTGTCCTCTCCAAGCCACCGATCAGCTCACCACACGCCTGTACAATTCCCGCAACAGGAGCCCGAGCTTGCAGAATGCAGTGCACCGAAACAGGAATCTTCCAGGCAACCTCCTCGCCTTGTGCCCATTTCCTCCCCCCTGCTGCTGCTGCCACGGCTTCGTCTTTCAACTGCCTGAGCTGCTGCAGGAGAGTCTGCTTCGAGCCGTCGCCAGCAAACAGCAGCACGTGGTGCGCCGGACCCCCCCCCCCTGAAGAGCTCTCTCCTCTCAGCAGGTCATGCACAGAGCAAGCCTGCCACCCTCCTCCCCCCACGTGTTGTGATGCTTTTTGCAGCTGCATCGCTCGTTGCAACTGCTGTGCCTTCTGCTGCTTCTGCTGCTGCTGCTGCTGGTGATTCGTCTCTCCTCTGCCTTCGAGCCTGCTGCTGCCGCTTTGCATGCCAGAGCTGCTTCCACTGCCGCCACCACCACTGTAACGAGGAGGCGAATCTGGCACTGCAGCGTGACTGTAATGAGAGGGACTATAGCGAGGAGGGGTATGTGACACTGCAGTATGGGTGAAATGGGCGGAATGAGAGGGAGGCAGCAGCAGCAGCAGCATGGCATCTGGGGCACGAGCGCCTGGCGCGGCTGCTGCTGCAGCAGGCGCCAAGGCAGCAGCAAGGGGAGGGGGGAGGAGGCGGAGGGGAGCAGAGAGAGGGGAGGAAAGGAGGGAGGAGAGGGAGGAGAGAGAGGAGGTGAGATCGTGGTGGAGGAGAGAGGAGGGAGGGTAGCGAAGGGAGAGCTGAGCTACAGTGGCGGCTGCTGCCACTCTGAGGGAGTGTGAGTGAGAGAGGAGGAAGAAAGCAGTGGAGCGAGAGAGAGAGGTGAGGAAGGTTGGGAGGAACATGGTCCGAGTGCCTATATCTGTGGCTTTAAGCACTTCTGCTACAGCTGCCCTTCGCTCCGTGTCATATGTGGTTAATAGCTCCCACCCTGCAATCCCCCTACCCACTAGTGCCACTTTCCATGCTGCGTTATAAGCATCCTGCACGCCTGTGTTAAGCCCCTGGCCGCCTACAGGGCTGTGTATGTGGGCTGCGTCGCCTAGGAAGAGCACTCTGCCATGTAGGAAGCGGTTTAAGGAGCGCAGGTGCATGCTGAAAACGCTGGACCAATGGATGGTGTCCACGTGTGCGCCACATGGCACGACGGCGTTGACCATGGCTGACACGTGCTGAGGTGTCAATATCGGCTGCCGAGCTGTCACTTGGGCAGAGGGCGAGGGGGTTGCAGCAGCACCAGCATCAACGGTAGCAGAGCGGGCAACAGGTGGCAGTGGCAGGACGGCAGGGCCGGCACCACGTGAGATCGTAGGCACAGGGGCAGATGGGATAACCCTAAGAACAGGAGCAGCGGAATCTGAAAAATCAGCTGTTGAGGGAATCTCCACGTACGGCGTCTCACTTGCAATCTCCCCTTCATGCCCCTCATCCACCTCCTCTCTCACTCCACCTCCGCTTCCTCGCCCTGCCTCTGGCTGGCGAGCCCCATCGCCCCCTGCGCCATGCCCCCTCCCCCCCTTTGCCCCAAGTCCCCTGCCCCGCTCTTCCCCTGCTGCTGCCCCAGCGCCCCCCTCCACCGCCCTCCCGTTGCCCTGCCTGCGGCTCTCTGTCTGGTCAAGCAGTCCGGCTGGAGCAAACATCCTGGCCGTCCCTTCATCGAAGATCAACCGCCACAAGCCATCGACACCAAACGGCAGAGCCACCAGAACCCCAGCAGAGCCATTGGATCCCTGCAGGGGTTCTAGTGGCACCTGCTGCCACCTGCTCCCACTAGCCCCCCCCCCTGCCGCGCCTGCTGCCGCCACGTGCTTACCTCGGGTAAACACGTGGCCCTTGTCCCGCGGGAACGGCCAGTGAGACAGCGCCACGTCAGCGAGGAGCGCATGCATAGGGTACTGGAGCCCGTCGAAGGAGAGGCTCAGCTGGAGGCGGCAGGTGCTGTGCGGCCCGTCACACGCACACACCAGGTCAAACACCGCCTCTTCCATCCCTCCATCTGTCCCTCCCCACATTCCTCCCTCCCTCGCTCCCTCCTTCAACTTTCCCCGTGCCTCTCTCTCCAACTCTCTCCTCACCTCCGTCCCCTCTCCTCTTCCCCTCTCCCCTTGGGTCTCCTTCCCCTTCCCTGCCATTTTTGGTGAGGTGTGGGAGGCTGTGGCTGGGGTGGGGGGATGACTCGCGCGCTGATGCCGCAGCTGCACGTGCACTGCATTTGAGTCCTGAAAGTGGAGAAGGTTAGGGATTCCGGAGTGAGAGGGGTTTTAGGGGTTCAGGGCGAGGTTTAGGGCTTTTTGCGACGATCTTCAGAGTCTCGTCACACAGTGTACCTTTCAACATAAGAATATCGTATTCGTCACGGATGAAAACACGACGCTTGAGCCAGAAGGCAGAAACCCAGAACTAGTTCTGCCTCTGTCAGTCCGCACCTGACGGATTCTGACAAGTTCCGTCTGCCACTCCACGTCCGTGCCATACACGTCCTTCAGGCACCGCGTCAGAATCCTCTCCGTGTCGCGCTGCGGCACCATCAGCACGAACGGGAACCGCGTCGCCCACACGCTCGGCCCCGAGCCATCCCCGCAATCAGCGGAGTGCTCCTCGCGATGCGCCAAACCGTGCTCCCCGCCATGCCTTCCGCCGTGGCTTCCGCTGCTGGGCGGACTACCACCAGGCTCCGCGCCTTCTTGCGCCGTTCCGCGCGCGTGGCGGGGCTGACTCGCTCCCGAGGAAACGCCGTTTAGCTCGGTGAGCGAGAGCGATGCCGCCAGATGCCCGTCCGTTCGGAACTCGATCCCCTGCCCGACAGGGAAAATGGCCGATGATTTTGGGAGCGACGGGGTGAGACGAGAACGGAAGGAGTGCACAATTCTCGGACCCTATCAACTCAGTAGTTAGTACGGTCAGAGCTGTTCACGATGCAGGTGATTCAAAAGAATTCAAAAGAACTCAAAAGAATCACTTACTAGTGCCCTAAATCGTATTACGAAGCTCAGCACCCTCACCGGTACACCCGAAACTCTGAAATTTCCAGGGATTCGATCCTCACCTCCACTATGGTCCCTGCGGCAATTAACGCGTCCACGACGCCGTCGTGCGCGGATAAGATCTCCAGCGTGCGCGCGTGGAGAGCCAGCGCCTTGGAGTGCTCCGACGGACCGCGGCTCCTCTCGACGACGCGCACGTGCAGCCCGTGGCGCCGCAGCTCGCACGCCGCGACTAGCCCTACCGGCCCCGCCCCCGCCACCAGCAGACTAGGAGGCTCCAGCGACGACGACGGTGCTGAGGGATGCTGCGCCATCGCGCGTTGGCGGTAAAAGGACCTACGCGACGGTCTACTGGTTCTCGTTGTTAGGTGGGCCAAAAAACGCTTGGACTAGTAAAATAACGTGGGGATTGAATGTACTGTGTAGTGGACAGCTGGCCAACGAAAGCGTCAGGGGACTGGCATGGTGAGTGCGAATCATCGCCCTGAATGAAAGGGCTTCTGCTGCAGTGCAACAAAGGAACCTAGGCCAGTGAGGTGAGGAGAGGGGCGAATTTGAGTCGATGGGAATAGGTTGGGTTGGATTGGATGGATGTGATGTGATGGTTGTGATTGACGGACTTGAGATTCTGTCGCGCCGCGGTTATCGACCAAGCCTGTCAGAAGCTGCTGTCCTTTGCCTCCCCCCCAGCCTCGTCAGCCGTGCCTCCCCTCGCCCACTGACTGCTGGAGATTCCATGTCGAGGTGGTTAGTTGTGGTCCAAGCCAGCATGCACAAGCATGCCACGTACTACCTCCAATCAAAAGCCAGCCTTGAACATACTCGCTGTGAGAACTATAACCTCAGCGGATTTGACTGAAAGCCCTTGGTATTACAGCTGGGACTGGAAAGCACACTACCCGCAAATTGAGTGGGAGGATAATGTTGGAGTGCAGCATGCCCGGATTCCAACAGGGAAATTCCAGTTACGAACTTACGAATGTATTCTTACATTGTAATTTTCTTGTAGAGTATTCATTAAAGGAAAATATATAGAAAGTCTAAACGTTTTTAGCTGCAACTCTATTGACAATAACAGCTCCGCCTTGCATTTGAGTAACGGCTTGCAGGTGCACAGTACTGTATCGGGGAACTCCTGGCTAGTTGGCTTCCCCCTGCCGAGCCGACCGACCAACAATGCTCACACTGGCTGACTGAACTGAAACCCATGTTGAAAATGCGATCAGTAGTAGCAATCCAGTTGCCTCTTGTTCATCCGACCTTGGGAGCGTCGTTGAACCACGTAGTTGGTTGGTTCCCTTCCGCCTGTCCTGCTGAGATAGCCGTCTGGCCCACTCTGAGGCTTGACATCCTTCGTTGCCGTGTCTAGCTGAAGGGACGAGAACAGATCAATGAGCTGCATGCCGGCTGACCGCAGTGACCAGCAAGGATGGTCAGTCTAGCCTGGCTAGGGTGTGCAACGTTGTATATCATTTCGATGTCGGCGAATCTTTCAAGAGCCTAGGCCGCCTAGGGGTAATCGCCAGTGTCGCGCAACTCCACCCGGGAATTCCGTCTATGCTTATCCCCAGCCATGCAGCGTCGCTTGCAGCGAATGCGGGATCGTGATCTTCGGACAATTGGCGGTCTGTCCTGGCATGGGTTCGTCTTCTTGCTCCTCCTGGCCAGTGGCGCTCGTGACGTCGGTGCTTATTCCGCCGGTAATGGAGCCTTCGTCGTGAATGGCAACGGCAACAGCAGTCATGTCACCATGCATGCCAATGGCAGCAGCACCCATCGGAGGCAGCTGCAGCGGGTGGGGCACGTGAAGGCCTTTGAAGCCCAGCTACAGTACTACGTGCCCCTGCCCATCAGGTGAGCTACAGTACTTCGTGCCCCTGCCCATCAGGTGAGCTACAGTACTACGTACCTCTACCCATCAGGTTAGCTACAGTACAACGTGCTCCTGCCCATCAGGTGAGTGCGACAGTACTACTTGCCTTCATTTGCCGCTCCTCATCACCTATGCTCTTATACCTAGCAAGCCTCGGCTACTCCCTGAAATCCTCCATCCATTTGTATCCCTCTTTTTGATGCCTCTCAAATGTAGACTCCTAGCAGGCCTCAACCGCTCCCTGAAAAACCTCTGTCTGAATTCCTCCAGGCGAATGCAATTGCGTCTCCCACTATACGCTCGCTACATGTGTGCCGCTGTGCTGTTACCACAGGTCCATGGCCAAATTTTCCTATCCTCAGCTCCATGCTCGACTCTCCGGTTCAGCAACCAGAGGCTTTCAGGCGACAGCCAGCATGCATTCAGCGGATCCACCACCCCTCACTCCCTCCCCCTCACTCCCACCCCCTCACTCCCACCCCCTCACTCCCTCCCCCTCACTCCCACCCCCTCACTCCCTCCCCCTCACTCCCACCCCCTCACTCCCTCCCCCTCACTCCCTCCCCCTCACTCCCTCCCCCTCACTCCCTCCCCCTCACTCCCTCCCCCTCACTCCCACCCCTCACTCCCACCCCCTCACTCCCACGCCTTCCTTTCCCCCATCACTCCCCCTTTACCTCTCCGCCCAGGACCCGTCCAGAGAGGACCAATCTCTTGACCGAGCCTCTCAGCTCCGCCCTCAACTCCTCCAACCAGCAGATCGTGATGCTGCAGTACCTCGAGCACGACACCCACTGGGGCTGCTGTGGCAAAGCGAGAACCAGCGTTACATGCACGCACACACCACCCCCTCACTCCTTGCCCTTCACTCCCTCCCTCCCTCCCTCTTTCCCCATCCCTCTTCCCTCTTTCCCCTCCCCTCTTCCCTCTTTCCCCTCCCCTCTTCCCTCTTTCCCCTCCCCTCTTCCCTCTTTCCCCTCCCCTCTTCCCTCTTTCCCCTCCCCTCTTCCCTCTTTCCCTTCCCCTCTTCCCTCTTTCCCCTCCCCTCTTCCCTCTTTCCCCTCCCCTCTTCCCTCTTTCCCTCTTCCCTCCTTGCCCTTCACTCCCTCCCTCCCTCCCTCTTTCCCCATCCCTCTTCCCTCTTTCCCCTCCCCTCTTCCCTCTTTCCCCTCCCCTCTTCCCTCTTTCCCCTCCCCTCTTCCCTCTTTCCCCAGAACCCATCCAGAACGAACCAAACTCCCCGTTGAGCCTCTCGGCTTTGCCCTGAACTCCTCCAACCAGCAGATCGTGATGCTGCAGTACCTCGAGCACGACACCCACTGGGGCACGCTCGCCCAATGCCGTGGCGACACCTGTCCCTCCATGGCCTCCTGTGGGCCCCGCTTCCCGAACCTGCAGGCGTGCTGGAACCCGAACCTCGTCGAGCCGGACACAGTTCTCCTCGACCCGCCCGTGAACTGCCCGAAAAGCGACGAGAAACGGCTGAGAGATGAGCAAGGAGGGGGAGAGGAGGGGAGGTTGGCGACACATCCGTATGATGGGTTTGACGAGTCGTGCTCGCACAAGCAGGACTTCAGCCCGCGGAACCCGATAGCCCTGCAGCTGGTGCAGCTGAAGGGGGTGTTTGTCACGGAGAAGGGGTTTGTGCTCAACCGCACTCACAACTTCGTGCGGCCAGGCTGTGGCAGGTTCAGAGAGGTGAGTGGCTACTGTGTGTGTGTGGGTGTGTGTGTGCGTGTGTGTGCGTGTGTGTGTGTGTGTGTGTGTGTGTGTGTGTGTGTGTGTGTAGCCGTGCATGTTTTCGTGTGTCTTTTGTTCTCGATAGTCCAGCCCAGGTTGCGGCAGGATGGGGAAGGCAAGGGGAAAGTGGCTGTCATGGGTGTGTGTTTGGAGTGTCTACCGAGCCCTCCTTTGAGCTTCCTCATAGTGTGGTGCATTTGGAACCTGCTTATAAACACATTGCTTTTGAACCTGCTTATAAACTGTTGCTTTTGAGCCCGCCTTTGAGGCTCTCAAAATCAGGTGTGTTCTGAGTTGACTAAAAACACACCTGGAGCCCCGTCTCTCCGCGTCTCTCTACCACTCTGCTGCATCCCCAGGTGGCCTTCCATCCAGGCGGATCAGCAGGTGCATGTGCTGCCTGCCACGTTCAACTGGGGCTACACCCAGGGCTTTAACTTCTACACCCAGGGCTTTAACTTCTGCTCAACACCCGGGGCTTTAACTTCTACACCCGGGCTTTAACTTCTACACCCAGGGATTCCACTTGTACCACGTCACAGCTGAAAGCATGCCACTCTTCCTTACCCTCTATTCCCCCCAGGTGGCCTTTGAGGCGAACCAGCAGGTGCATGTGCTGCCTGCCGCATTCAACTGGGGCTACTCGCAGGGCTTTAACTTCTATCACTTCACCGTGGAAACCATGCCGCTGTTCCTCGTTGCTGTGCCGCTGCTGCCTCGAATCACACCCAACATCCCCATCATTGCTGGCATGCTGCAAGTGAGTTGCTGTCTGCTGTTGACTGCTGTTGACTGCTGTTGACTGCTGTTGACCACTGATGACCGCTGTTGACTACTGCTGACCATCGTTGTCTCTTTTTGCTTCTCCGCTGCTGCCTCACATCAACCGTCCATCCGCATCATCGCTGGACGGATGCAGGTGAGTTGCTGACCGCTCTTGACCGCTGTTGACCACTGTTGACCCCGTGGACTGTTGTTGATTTGACCATCCTTGACTTTTCTTCACCATTGTTTCCAAGCGACCATTTTACAAGAGGCTTGCTCGCGGACCATTCCAAGGGAGTATCTTTCTGCAGCGGAAGCGAACGTCGCACAACCCCACCTTGCCCCCTTTTTTTCCCTGCCCCCTCGCCCTTCTGGCTCCAGTGGGCAGTGGGAAGCAGACGAGCGCTTTGGAAAGCTGCTGATAGGAGTCAAATACCAGGCCATGCGCTCACCCTCCTCCCACCTTCCACCCACACCGTCCTTCCCTCCACCCTTCCTCCTCTCGTCCCCACACACAACCTCCTCGCGCTCCTGTCTTTGCAGTGGGAGGCATACAAGCGCTTTGGCGAGCCGCTGATAGGAGTCAAATTCGAGGCCGTGCGGTCGCTGCCTCTGGTGGGCGATGACCTCTTCTTCGTTGAAACGCTTTATGAGGTGAGCGAGTGCTTGTGCTTGCTCGTGCTTGCTACTGCCAGCTTGGTCGTGCTTGTTTATTTCTGAGTCGACTCAAAAGTCATCTCCCACGTGCTCATGCCTGCTCATGCCTGCTCGTGCCTGCTCATGCCTGCTCATGCCTGCTCGTGCCTGCCGCCGAATCATGACCCATGCTTTTATGCTTTTCAAGCGCCGCTTGTCACACAAGGTCTATTTATCGACATTCCCTCTCACAGCCCCCCAGCCTCCCTGCACCCAACCCATGACCCAGGAGTGTGGCAATGGAAACAATGGCAATCCCTCCCTTTTTTTAGAATTCTCAACAATGGCAATCCCTCCCGTTTTTTAGAATTCTCAACAATGGCAATCCCTCCCTCCCGACCTCTCTGGCAGTGTCTGAGACGGGGCCATCTGCCGCACCCGCACCCGCAGGGGCTGCCGGCGTTTTTTTAGAATTCTAGAAAAAAAAACTCCCGAGCTCTCTGGCAGTCTCTAAGACGGGGCCGTCTGCCGCGCCCGCAGGGGCTGCCTCCCTTCCTTCGTCAGGGTTAAGGTGTTTCCTGAGCCTCTCCTCCCTTCTCCCCCTCCCCTCGCCCTGCTAGCCCATGACCCAGGGATGTGGCAACCCCTCTCGAGTTCTCTGGCAGTCTTTGCATCGGAGCCACCTGCTGCTGTACCCGCAGGGGCTGCCTCCCTTCCGCCCTGACTGGTCCTACTACTCTGGCCACGGTGTATTATTGGCCTCTCTTCTCGTCCCCTCCCCCCGTCCCCCCCCCCTCTCACCAGCCCATGACCCATGGGTGTGGCAACCCCTCTCGAGTTCTCTGACAGTCGCTGCGCCGCAGCCACCTGCTGCACCCGGGGGGGCTGCCTCTCTTCCGCCCGGACTGGTTAAGGTGTAAGTTAAGTCTCTCCTCCCCTCTTCCGCTCCCTCCTCCCCTCTCTCACCAGCCCATGACGCAGGAGTGTGGCAACCCCTCTCAAGTTCTCTGGCAATCCCTAAGAAGGAGCCACCTGCTGCACCCGCAGGGGCTGCCTCTCTTCCGCCCCGACTGGTCCTACCGCCCCCCGCCGCCGCTGACGCCGCAGCAGGCGCAGGCGCTGCCAGGGGACTGGGTGGTGGTGCTGGCGCGGCGACTGTCTAAGAAGCGATCCATTAGGAACTTCGAAGAGGTGGAGCAGGCGGTGGAGAGGGCGTTTTCTAAGGAGAGGATCGTGGTGTTCAACGGGTCGCTGACTGTGCTGGAAGGTATGGCTCTGTATTGCGCACGGCAGGTGCAGTTACATGCAGTGACCCATACCTTCTCAGAAACCCATACCTTCTCAGAAAGCCATACCTTCTCAGAAACCCATACCTTCTCAGAAAGCCATACCTTCCAGCACAGACACGGCTTTCTGAGATCATGGTGCTCATTGGGTATTCAGTGGGTCGCTGACTGAGCTGGATGGTAGATGTTGTCGTTCCTGTGGTGCTGAATCCACGGCGGCCCCTTCTACCTCTCTCTGTCCTCCCACCCCCTCCCCCCCACTTCGTCCCTGCCATCTCCCCCCTGCCATCTCCCCCTTGACTCTCCCCCCCGTGCAGCTTGCAACCTCTTTCGCCGCACGTGTGCTCGTAGCAGGCCATGGTCCTGTATCAGCGCATGTGTCAGCGCATGTATCAGCGCATGTGTCAGCGCATGTATCAGCGCATGTGTCAGCGCATGTGTCAGCGCATGTGTCAGCGCATGTGTCAGCGCATGTGTCAGCGCATGTGTCTCTTCATAGCCGGCCATGGGGCAGCACGCATCTACCTTGTATTCATAGCCGGCCATGGGGCAGCACGCACATACCTTGTCTTCATGCCGTCTCTCTCACCCTCACTGCGTCTCCTCACCTCCCCTCTCTCTCTCCCGGCTGCCTCTTCTGCCCTGCCTTTTCTACCCTGCCTCTTCTGCCCTGCCTCTTCTGCCCTGCCTCTTCTGCCCTGCCTCTTCTGCCCTGCCTCTTCTGCCCTGTCTCTCCCCCTGCCTTTTCTACCCCTGCCTTTTCTACCCCTGCCTTTTCTCCCCCTGCCTTTCCCTCCCCTGCTGCAGCTCGCGACTTGTTTCGGCGCACGCGCCTTTTCGTAGCCGGCCACGGGGCGGCGCTCACCAACCTCGTATTCATGCCGGAAAAGGCTTCTATCCTCGAGATAAGACCAGATGAATGCGCTGTAGTGTGTTACAACCACCTGTCCTATGCCTGCTCCCTCACCTACCACCTTGTGTTCAGCAGGGGGGGGTGCTTGGATACTGTAGAAGCCAATGTAACGCAAGTAGAAAGAGTGCTTAGAGACATAAAAACACGATTTGATGCAGAAGACGCTCGAAGGATTTGACATTTCTAATGTTAGTATGCATTTTGTTGTTTTGTGCATATCTTTCCCAATGCTTGTAGACTTCATTACAAGTGCATATCACATGTCCGTTGCCCTGCCGTGTGTTCTATGGACAGCTTCCACTGCTTTGAGCCTGAGAGTTACTTGGGCAGAAAAACACCGAGTTGCTATGCAAGGGTGCGTAGTGTACATCCATACTGTACACTGTTTCTCTGCAGCACCACCGTCCAGTCCACTCCCCCCCTACTGATACCGGTAGTTTCTCAAAGCACCTTCGCGCATCTCGAATAGCCTGCGGCTGAATGTTGTGCTCCACCTGGTGGGCTTTCAGAAGCGCTTCGGCTGCATACTCCGCCCTCCACTGCACCACATTGCACTCCGCCCTCCATTGCACCACCTTGCACTCCTCCGCCCTTGGCTGATAGCAGTAGTTTCTCAAAGCGCCTTCATGCGACTCAATTGGCCTGCAGCAGACGGTTGTGTGCTCCGCCTGGTGCACTTTCAAAAGCTCTTGGACTGCAAGGTCCTACCTCTGCTGCACTTGTGAGAAATTTATGAGAATGATAAAAAATCTCTCACGCGGACTTAAAACTCTTGGGCTGCAAAATCTTCCCTTGGCTGCACCACCTTCCACCCCACTCCACCCCTACTGATGCCGGTGGGTTTTCAATGGCCTCATGCATCTCCATTGGCCTGCAGCAGACTGTTGAGCTCTGCCTGGTCTCTTCAAGTAGAGCCTTCACCATGTGCACCTCCCTCTGCTGCACCGCCCTCCACTCCACCCCTCATGCCAGCAGCACCATCGGTCTCAGAGTGGCTTCACTTATCCCAAATGGCCTGCATAACGCTGTTGAGCTCTGTGTTTTTTAGATACACGAGCCTTCACCAGGTGCACCTCCCTTTGCTGCTCCACCGTCCTCTCCTTTGTACAATGAGCCGTCCCTTATCCCGACTGGCCTGCAGCAGACTGTTCAGCTGCTCCACCTGGTAGCCCTCGAGTAGAGCCCTCCCCATGTGCACCTCCCTCTGCTGCGACTCCCTCCACTCCACCCTCCACTCCACCCTCCAATCCACCCTCCACTCCGCCCTCCACTCCACCCTCCACTCCGCCCTCCACTCCACCCTCCACCCGCCCGCCACCCGCCCGCCACCCGCCCTGAGAGGGACGTATTTGATTCCAGGGCCTTCTCGTATCTCCACTGGCCTGCAAGACTGTTGAGCTCTGTAGAGCCCTCACCATGAGCTCTGCTTGGTAGAGCCTTCACCATATGTACCTCCCTCTGCTGCGCCGCCCTCCTCCACTCCTCTTAACAAAGAGCCCTCACTTACCCCGATTGGCTTGCATTAGACTGTTCAGCTCTGCCTGGTGGGCTTTCAGTAGCGCCTTCACCATCTGCACCTCCCTCTGCTGTGCCACCCGCCACTCCACCCCCAGCTCGTACTCCACTGTGTTGGGCTGCACGCAGTGCGACGTGGTTATGGCGTGCTTCTAATGAGGGGAGGGAGGGGGGGGGGGGGAAGGAGGATGTATGTGGAGTGAGGAATGAGTGAGAATGAGGCAAGACTGAGGGGTTTGACTGCAACTTCCTCCCTCTGCTGCACCACCCTCCACACCACCCGCCACTCCACCCCCAGCTCGTACTCCACTGTGTTGGGCTGCACGCAGTGCGGCGTGGCTATGGCGTGCTTTTAGAGAATGGAGGAAAGGAAGGGAGTGTGGCCCGTGGAAGGTGGGGAGGGGAGAAACGAGAGGAAACGGAGAGGAGAAAGTATGGGGAAAGAGGAATGATTGAGAATGAGGCAAGAATGCGTGCTCTCACTGCCCACTCCTCCCTCTGCTGCACCACCCTCCACTGCACCCTCCACACCACCCGCCACTCCACCCCCAGCTCGTACTCCACTGTGTTGGGCTGCGCGCAGTGCGACGTGGTTATGGCATGCTTCTAATGAGGGGAGGTAGTGGTGCGGAGAGGCGTGGAAGGGGGGGGGGAGGGAGGGAAGAAGGCAGGGGGGATGCGGGAGTGAGGGGAAGATGGGCTGAGCGCAGTGCGACGTGGTCATGGCGTGCTTCTAATGAGGGGAAGGGAGGGGGGGGGGGGAAGGAGGATGTATGTGCTCCACTGTGTTGGTTGCGCTCATACAGAGTTCACCCTAAAGCCCTCCCCCCCCCCCCCCCCTTCGTCCTTCCCACCCTCTCTGTTCTCTCGCATGTCTCACTCACCTTATCATCAGTGTACTGCTGCCCTCCGTGCTTGGCTCGGATGGAGTTGAAGGCAGGCTGTGCGACACCAGGGCGGCAGAAGGGGCATCCATGGGGCATGGTGCGGGGGGAAGGTGCTTGTCCCTTGAGTCGACTCATGGGTCAAAGCTCATCATCTCACCTTGTCATCGGCATACTGGCCTCCCTGCATGGCTCGAAGGCTGATGAAGCCATATGCGAAAACAGGGCGGCTGAAAGCGCATCCGCCGTGGAAGGTGCGAGAGACAGACGGTTTACCTGGATCCCCCCCCCTCCCCCCCCCCCCCCCTCCCAAATTCTTCTCTCGCATGTCTCACCTTATCATCGGTGTACTGCCCTCCTTGTTTGGCTCGGATGCTGATGAAGCCAGTGCCGTGCGACACCAGCGCGGCTGAAGGTGCATCCACCGTGGATAGTGCGAGAGGCAGTGGGTCCCCCCTGGATTGCCCCCCCATCCCCCCTCCCCAATGGAGTCATTTTTTAGACTTCTCAACACCAGCGCAAGAGGCAGAGGGTTCACCCTGGATTGCCCCTGCATTCTCCCCACCCCCACTTCCACCCCCACCCCAAATTCTTCTCTCGCATGTCTCACCTTATCGTCGGTGTACTGCCCTCCTCGTTTGGCTCGAATGCTGATGAAGCCAGTGCCATGCGACACCAGCGCGGCTGAAGGTGCATCCACTATGGAGGGAGCGACAGCAGGGGGGCGCTGCAGGCGACCAATCAGAGGGCTACACGTGGCAGCAGGGCGTTTGTGACGGAGGGGTATGGGAGACGTACAGTGGGGAGATGAGAGGTTGCAGTGAGGGAGACAGTCCTTAGAGCCATGGGTGAGTAGTGGAGTTTACGAATGTGAGGAAGAGAGTGAGAAAGAGGGAAGACGAAAGTGTGCGTGCATACAGGAGGGAGAATGAGAGGGAAACCCAATATTCACTGCGAGAGGAACTGAACAGCGGCGGCAGCAATGAGAGCTGGTGAAAGGAGATGCGAGCCCAACCAGTGACGGTGATAGTGATATAGATACTCCCTACCGTGGAGTGCGAGGGCACGATGCAGCAGGACGAGAGGAAGAGCACAGCGGCAGCAGGAACAGCGATGCACGGGGGTGCATGGAAATGTGCGCGAAACAGCGATACATCTGATTGACTCGGCCGTACCGGGAGGAGTGCGAGGGCACGATGCAGCGGGACGAGAGGAAGAGCACAGCGGCAGCAGGAACAGAGATGCACGGGGGTGCATGGAAATGTGCGCGAAACAGCGATACATCTGATTGACTCGGCCGTACCGGGAGGAGTGCGAGGGCACGATGCAGCGGGACGAGAGGAAGAGCACAGCGGCAGCAGGAACAGCGATGCATGGGGGTGCATGGAAATGTGCGCGAAACAGCAATACATCTGATTGACTCGGCCGTACCGGGAGGAGTGCGACGGCACGATGCATCGGGACGAGAGGAAGAGCACAGCGCCGGCGGCGGCAGCAGACGTGCGGAAGACAGCAAAGGCGTGGATGGCGATGGGTGGTATAGGCGTGGTGGATGGCTGCACTCGCACCGCCACCAGGTCTGAGAAGAGCTCGCCCATTGCTTCCTGTGGTGGGAATGGGGATGATGAAGGAAAGGAGGGGAGGAGACAGCATGTTAGGAGGGGAGGAGACAGCATGTTAGGAGGAGAGGAGACAGCATGTTAGGAGGGGAGGAGACAGCATGTTAGGAGGGGAGGAGACAGCATGTTAGGAGGGGAGGAGACAGCATGTTAGGAGGGGAGGAGACAGCATGTTAGGAGGGGAGGAGACAGCATGTTAGGAGGGGAGGAGACAGCATGATAGGAGGGGAGGAAGGCATGGATGGCGATGGTGGTACGGGCAAAGCCTGCTCTGATGAGTGCACTCGCACCGCCACCAGGTCTGAGAAGAGCTCAACCATGGCCTCCTGTGGTGATGGAGAAAAGAAGGGGATGATACGAGAAGGGCACGAACCACGATGGGGGATATGGGGGTGGTTCACGGGTGCTGCACTCGACCACACCGCCACCAGGTCTGAGAAGAACTCGCCCATTGCCTCCTGGGGTGGGAGTCTGGGGGGGCCGAGGAAGGCAAGGAGAGGGTGAGGAGCATGAGGGGAGGAGGGTGGTATACGGGTGGTGGATGGGTGCATTTGCACCGCCACCAGGTCAGAGAAAAGCTCGCACATAGCCTCCTGGGGTGGGGGAGGGGTGTGGGTGGGTGTGGGATATGTGGGCATGGGTTATGTGGGCATGGGATCAGCTCACATGCCATCAGCTCAGATGCCATCAGCTCACATGCCATCAAGTCTCAAGTGGCACCAACGCACATGCAGGTGCTGCGACGTGGTGCAAGGCGGCACGTTGTCGATGCGGACCACCCGCTGCTCCTCCAACGCTCCCTCGATGATGCCGCTCCACTGGCGAGGAGCGGGGGGGATGCAAGGAGGGCGAATGGCGCGAGGAGGGCGAATTGTGCACACTGAGAATGGCGCTCCACTGGCGGCGGGACATACAAGGTGAAAAGGTGTGGAACGTGAGAATGATGAGAATGATGAGAAAGAACGGCAAATCATGGAGAAGAAGAAAAAAAAATAGTGCTCCTAAAATGTTAGGTTGGTAAGCGGATAGGTGGGCAGGAGTGGAAGGTGGAGCATGTGCGAACTTACCTCGGGGATGGATCGGGGAAGCCGACTCTCAGCAGGCTGCCAGGTCAACCCAGACTGCAGGCAAGTAAGGCGAGGCAAGTAAAGAGAGGGAAAATGGTGAGGAACATATGGTGAGGAGCGGAAATCCGGTACTTAACTATGGGTCTGGTGGTACTAGGTACTTAACCATGGGTCCGATGATTGCCATGTGCCAGTGCTGATCAGCCATATGCTCAGACCTTCACGGTACTCCTCTGCCATATGCTGATCTGCCATATGCTGATCTGCCAGTGCTGATCTGCCATATGCTGATCTGCCATATGCTGATCTGCCAGTGCTGATCTGCCATATGCTGATCTGCCAGTGCTGATCTGCCAGTGCTGATCTGCCAGTGCTGATCTGCCAGTGCTGATCTGCCATATGCTGATCTGCCAGTGCTGATCTGCCAGTGCTGATCTGCCAGTGCTGATCTGCCAGTGCTGATCTGCCAGTGCTGATCTGCCAGTGCTGATCTGCCATATGCTCAGACCTTCACGGTTAAAAGATTTTCAAGGTATTGTTAGTCAGTCCCAGACCTAACCTCCAAAACCGTGGTAGATTTTTAAATCTAAATTCGAGATCCGACACTAATTATGAGTTACCTCCTGCACTATCACCCACAGTCGACTCTCTCTTCGCCAACGATCCCTCACAACCTGCCTTACCTTGCTTTCAGTTGTCTCTCTTCTCTCCATCTGCTTCGCCCTGCCACCAGCCACAGCAGCAGCAGCAGCAGCAGAAACAGAAGCAGTGGCAGCGGTGGCGCCAGCAGCAGCAGCAGCAGCAGAAGCGGACGCGGAAGCATTAGCAGCGGTGGCGCCAGCAGCAGCAGCAGCAGCAGCAGCAGCAGTAGCGGAAGCGGAAGCGGAAGCAGGAGCAAGAGGCATGGGCCAACAGAAACCACTCTGTTTGATTTCCCTGGCCCCGCCACTCTCCTTGTCGCCTTTCACTTTGCCACCGCCTTTCCCATCTCTCGTCGCTTCACTCTCCTTCTTCGCTTCACCCTCTTTCTTCTCCGTCGTCGCTTCACCCTCTGTCTTCTCCGTCGTCTCAGCACCCTTGCTCTTTGCCTTTGTCTCTTCACCCTCGTTCTTTGCCTTTGTCTCTTCACTCTCTTTCCTTGCCTTCGTCTCTTCGATCTTTGTTCCAACCTTTCCTGAATCAACCCCACCAGTTGGTGCCACATCAGCAGCAAGAGGCTCTGATGTGGCAGCTCCAGGTTTTGAGAGATTTTCTGCTAATTGGACACGTGTTGCAACAGCCGCATCTGCTGCTTCAATTTCTGCAGCAGCACCAGCAGGAGGAGGCGCAGCAGGAGGAGGGGCAGAAGCAGCAGCAGCAGGATCGGGTGGTTTATGGGTTGTTGATTGAGGTGCTGCTTCTGCTGCTGCTTCTGCTGCTGCTTCCGGTGCTGCTTCTGGTGCTGCTTCCGGTGCTGCTTCCCGTGCTGCTTCTGGTGCTGTTGCTAAATCAGGTTCTGCTGCTGATTCTGTTGCTGCAAACGCGCTTGCTGCTGTTGTTGGCACTTCCGTTGCCAATTCAGTTGCTGCTGCTGCAGGCAGTGCCGCTGTTGGCTCTGCCAGGGACTCTGTCAATGCTGCAAGTGCAAGAGCCTCCTTTCCACCTATTGCCGCAACAGCTGGTACTGCCTCTGCCTCTGCTTGCAGTGCCGATGCTGCTGCTGCTGCTGGTGCTGCTGGTGCTGCTGCTGCTGGTGGTGCTGCTGTTGGCGCTTCAGGGAGCATGCCCAATGCTGCGCTTCCCACCCCTGCTTCTGCCTCTCCTGCTTCGGCTTCAGCAGCACCAGCACCAGTTGCATCCGCAGCAGCTCTCCTTCTCTCCGCTTCCCTCCTCTCCTCCTCCTTTCTCCTCTCCTCCTCCTTCCTCTTCTCCCCTCCTTTCCCCACCTCCTCCTTTTGCCTTCCCAGTGCAACAACCCCTTGCCCTTCTGGCAGCTTCCCTTCTCTCTCCCCACCCCTCTCTCGCCACCCCACCCTCTCTCCTCCCTTCCCAGCTCTACCCACTCCCGGCCCCTTCTTCTTCCCCTGTAGCTTCTCAAACAAACTCCTCCTATTGGCGGGAACATTGGCCAATGAGAGCACACCAGCCACCTTCTTCCCTCCCCCGCCCCCGCCCCCTCCCCCTTTCCCTCCTTCCCCTACACCACCCCCTCCTCCTCCTCCTCCCCCTCCCCTTGCTCCAGGGGACAGGGGCGGAGGGGGGGGAGGTGAGATCCGGGGGAGTTTCTTCTGTGAGGGACGGACGGGGAGTTTGGCGCGGGAGCCGGGCCCATCAGGAGCGGCTGCAGGCTGCAGCCCCTGCGGGAGGCCCTCTCTCAGCGCCCCCCTGCCTGCCAGCCCCGCAAGAGACGATCGCTTCTTGGGTGAGAGCCGCTGCGCACCTGACCCTAACACACGCTCTTTCGGCGACAGGGCTCCCCTCGGCGACACTGTTCCTCTCGGCGACACTGCTCCAATTGGCGACAGAGCTCCACTCGGCGACAGGCCTGCTTTTGATGGAAGGCCATGCTTTCTCCTTTCCTCCTCCTCCTTCCCCTCCTCCTCCTCCTCCTCCTCCTCCTCCTCCGTCTTCTCCTCCCCTTCCCCCTTTTCTTCTTCCTCTACCCCTCCCCCCTGCCCCTCCTCCGACTCTTCCCCTTCCTCCAGGTCCCAAGGGTCCCCTTTTGACTTCTCAGCACCCTTCTTCTTCTTCCCTCCCTTCCCCTCCACTTTTCCTTCCACCTTCAGCCTCTTGCTTGACTGCTTCTGGCTCCTGCCATACCCCTCACTACCCTCCTCATCTTCCCCTTCCTCCTCTTCCTCCTCGTCCTGCTCCTCCTCCCCCCCCTCCTCCTGGTTCTCCTCTGCTGCTTTCTCTCCTTCCCCACGTACCTCCCCCCCCGTCTCTTCTCCTTTCACATCCTTGTGTTTTGTCAAAGCCTCACCCTCCTCCCCATCCGCTTCCCCAAGAATTCCCCTAGTCAAGTCTCTGCTTTCCTCCCTTCCCGCTCTCTCCTCCTCCCCTCTTGTCGCCACGTCGGTTGGCTGCTGCACCCATGCAGGCTTGTTGAATACCGCCTCCTCTGTGCCATGCCACATACAACACGCACCATGTGCCATGCACCATGCACCATGTAATATGCACCATGTATCATGCACCATGCACCATGCACCATGCACCATGCACCATGCACCATGCACCATACACCATACACCATGCATCATGTACCATGCACCATGCACCATGCACCATACACCATACACCATGCATCATGTACCGTGCGCAACAGGCGACACATGCCATGATAGACACACGATCAAGAAATAATGTTATCAGCTGCAGTGACGACCAGTTACCCACCTGTGTGCACAAACTGCCAAACGTGATCCCACCTGAAGCCTCACCTGATTCCACCTGATTCCCCGTCTGACCCCACCTGAAGCCTCACCTGAGCTCAGGTCGTCCACGGCCACCTGACGGCCCTCCAGCACCTGCTTCTGCCCACAGGCACCAGAACACCAGCTCTGCTGTTTCCACCTGAAGACTCACCTGAGCTCAGGTTGTCCACGGCCACCTGAAGGCTGCAGCACCTGCTACTCCTTCATGTCCCACACGCCCCGGAACACGAGCTCTGCTGCTTCCACCTGAACCTGAAGTCTCACCTGAGCCCAGGTTGTCCACGGCCACCTGAAGGTCGTCCAGCAACTGCTTCTCCTTCATGTCCCACACGCGGCGGAACACAAACTCTGCTGCTTCCACCTGAGCCGCGCTCGGCTGCGGATTGCGCGGGTCAGCTGACAGGCAGAGGATGCGGATTTTGGATTCAATTGTGCCCTGGGGAGGGAAACGTAAAAGAGGGAGCAAAACTAAAGGGGGAAAGGGGAGGGGGAGGGGAGACAAGACAAGGAACAGCCGGGAACAGCTAGTTGCGCCGCAAATCCCCTTTGAAGTCCTCTGTTCGTCAGCCCCCGCCTCACCACTTTATTGGCGCCCACTACCCCCCGAGTGCCCTTGGAAACAGCTAGGAACACCTCATTGGGCTATGAGCCCATCAGCCACTGCTCGTCCGTCCCCGTTGATCAGCCCCGATTCAACAGCCGTTCTTCAGCCCCCGTTTTTCAGCCCCCCTTCAGCAGCCCCTGTTCAACAGCCGTTCTTCAGCCCCCGTTTTTCAGCCCCCCTTCAGCAGCCCCTGTTCAACAGCCGTTCTTCAGCCCCCGTTTTTCAGCCCCCCTTCAGCAGCCCCTGTTCAACAGCCGTTCTTCAGCCCCCGGCTCACCACTTTATTGGCGTCAGTGACCCCCGAAGTGCTCTCGGGAACCGCCAGGAACACCTCATTGGGCCACGTGTCCCCTGGGAGCTCCCCGCCCTCCGCCTCCACGTCAGCAGGGCGGAAGAACCAGCGCACGTCCACCATCATGCGCTCCTCTGGCTTTAAGCTGCGCCTGCTGCGCTTGCTGGGGAGAAACTCGTACATGCGCTCAATCTTCCCCACGTACAGATCCTCCCCCTCAAGTGACTGACGCGTTACGGGGATTACAGGGATTACGGGAAACATGGGGAATGATATGTGGGGGTTTGGGAGACACTCGTACATGCGCTCGACCTTCCCCGCATACAGCTCCTCCTCCAGTGACTGACGCGGTACGGGGAAGGGAACATAGGGAATGATATAGTTATGGGCCGCCTCAAAGCCGGCTGAGGAGAAACTTGTATATGCGCTCGATCTTCCCCACATACAGCTCCTCCCCCTCTCAAGTGACTGACGCGGTACGGGGATTACAGGGATTACAGGGTAAGATATGAATGAGATGCCTAATACGGCGATATCTTAGATGGATTATTGCCTATTTTACAATCCTAAAAGCTCTCGTATTTGAATTCTCTTAAGAGACGAGGACCGAGGGGTATTGCACGCGGGTTCTAAGAAAACAACAGCTCACGAGGTTCATTAAAGGCGGACCTGGCAGCACACGTGGCGGCCGTAGAGGTCGAACGGCTCCCCTTTTGAGTCGACTCAAAACGAACCTACTATCACACTGGCTGACAGTACACGTGCCGGTAATAGGGGTCGAGCAGCTCCCCGCCCTGCTCGAACCATACGTAGTGTCGCTAGCCATAGGGAAGTAATAGCTTAGAAAAAAAATAGATTGCGGACCTGGCAGTACACGTAGTCGTAGAGGTCGAACCGCTCCTCTCCCCACTGCAACCAGAGGTAGCACTTCCTGCCATAGTGGAGTCGAGAAATCTGAAAGTAAAGGCGGACCGACCTGGCAGTACACGCAGTCGTAGAGGTCGTACCGCACGTCTCCCCACTGGAACCAGAGGTAAAACTTCTTGCCGCCGCGACTCGGGCCAGGAACCGGATCGCCCCAAGACAAGGTGTGATCCCCCTTCTTCTCGCCCGCTTCCCCGTCAATCACGGCGCCATTCGCGGTGGGAGTAGCCTCCCCCGACTCCATGACTTAGGAACCCTTAGTGACCAGGAAACTGGTAATGGCTAAGCAACCGGTGATGACTAAAGCGCGGTGACTAAGGAGTTGGTTGCAGAGGGCTGTCTTAGGAGTTGCGAAGCGACGAGTGTGCGAATATTAACGAGACCAAGCGAAACAGGAAAGGTTTTGTAAGCACTAATCAGAAACGCCTTCGGCAATATCGAGATTCTGGAAACCTTCTGCTGTTGGAATTTCATGCAGGCGCGTTCAGAAACCACAAATCGACAAACCTGGCACTTGCAAACTGAGATGAGCGAAACTCGGTGTCTCTTTCGTTTTCTGTATTTCGTTAGCTTCGTATGGCGAGCGAAACCCGTAATGATGTTCGCATTTGGAAGCGATAAATTCCATGCAACCCCGTAAACTGGCCAGATGTGTCGGCTGTCTTTTTGGAATCTAGGCTCGTTTCGTCTAGAATCCTTAGTAGCATACACCCCCTACACTGACGATCATGGGGCTCTGTTTATGCTGGCAGAGGATACCTGACGGATACTACTTACTTCCGTTTGTTTCTATGTGTAGGAGGAATGCGAATAGCAGGTTTATTTTCTCCCACCACAACGTATCTCCCCTTTCGTTCGACAGACCTAATAGGAGTAACCCCATTCGCGACACGCAATGGAGTGGGCGTCGCCGCCCGTCGCCTTCCCTCTGCTCGCGAATCCCAAGGCGTACACTGCGAGCTCCGTGGCTCTACGAGGCGACTCCGACGATCCGGCGCAGCTGACGGCCAAGGAGCGCGAGCTGGTCGGCTCGTTCAAAGAGAGAATTCCGCTGTGGAGGTAGATCGTTCCACTCCACATCACACCTAACCACACCACACCATGTCGTGCCACGCGACTCCGACGATCCGGCGCAGCTGAAGGCCAAAGAGCGCGAGCTTGTCAGCTCCTTTCGCGAGCGAATTCCGTTGTGGAGGTCGTTATGCGCTAGTTTTGGTGTGGTTGAATGGCTGGCAGCTGACGGCGAAGAAGCGGGAGCTGGTCTGCTCATTTCAAGGGGGAATTTCCTTGTGGAGAGGGTTCCGTGGGTTCAACCCACAGAACTTCCGCGCGAAAGGAATCTAAAGGGTTGTCTTGAGCGAGAGGTTGTGTGGTTTGTAGCGGATGGTTTACGTGCAGGAGCACCATGGTGCATGTGTAACAGACCATGCCATCTTACGCCATTCCATGCGATGACATATGATGCCATGCCAAACGTCATGCCATACAATCGGACACTGTGCCCACACCACACCACACCACACCACACCATGCCATGCCATAACATGTAATACCACACCCCACACCCCACCACGCAACACCATGCCATCACAGGCAGCTGGAAGAGAGGGATACATCAGTGGACGATGCAGCAGAGAAGGCTGCCGGATTTGTATCATATCACGTCATGTCAGATCACACCGCACCATGCCATGTCAGATCACATCACACCATGCCATGTCGTACCACATCACACCATGCCATGTCGTACCACATCACACCATGCCATGTCGTACCACATCACACCATGCCATGAGCAGGCAGCAAGCAGAGAGGGATACATCGGTGGACAACGCAGCAGAGAGGGCGGCCAAGTTCGAAGAACGGTGACTATACCGGGGACTTCAAGAAATTGGAGGGTTTATTTTATAAGGGATACGTGCTGGCAGCAGTGGGTATATGAATGGATGTTTGCGTCGCACCTGGGTTCTTGCTTTCAAGACAGCCCATCTGTTTACATCTGTTGCCCTTGCTGCCCCTGTTGACTGTTCTTGCCAGGCTGTCATGCATATTGGATGTTTGCAGCCAAGTCCCTGAGAGCCATGGTGGGGCATGGAGAGGCATGGAGGGGCATGGAGAGGCATAGAGAAGCATGGAGAAGCATGGAGAGGCATGGAGAAGCATGGAGAAGCATGGAGAAGCATGGAGAGGCATGGAGACGCATGGAGAAGCATGGAGAGGCATGGAGAAGCATGGAGAGGTGCGGAGGGGCGTGGAGAGGCATGGAGAGGCGTGGAGAGGCATGGAGAAGCGTGGAGAGGCGTGGAGGGGCGTGGAGAGGCATGGAGAGGCGTGGAGAGGCATGAGAAGCTGTGTTCACGCCCATCTGTTGCCCTTGCTTCCCCCTTTCACCGTGCCTGGCAGGCTGGCATGCATGCTGGATGATTTCAGCCAAGACCCTGAGAGCCATGGGGGGCCTCCAGATGCCATGGTATGTGATAGCATGTGATGGTATGCGATGGTATGCGATGGTATGTGATGGTATGTGATGGTATGCGATGGTATGCGATGGTATGTGATAGCATGTGATGGTATGCGATGGTATGCGATGGTATGTGATGGTATGTGATGGTATGCGATGGTATGCGATGGTATGTGATGGTATGCGATGGTATGCGATGGTATGCGATGGTATGTGATGGTCTGTGATGATATGTGATGGTATGTGATGGCATGCGATGGTATGTGATGGGATGCTATGGTATGTGATGGCATGCTATGGTATGTGATGGTATGTGATGGTATGTGATGGTATGTGATGGCATGCTATGGTATGTGGGAGGTGTTGTGTGGGTGTGTCCTCGCTACTTTCTTCTTCTCTTCTCCCTTTCTCCGTGCTTCGTCCCTGTTACACCTCTCTCCGCCCCCCCCCCTTCTTCTATCCACCTATGCCCGCCGCTCTCCTCACCCCACACCTTACCTCTCTCCTCACCTCTCTCCTCACCCCTCTCCTCACCTCTCTCCTCACCCGTCTTCTCACCCCGCGCCTTGCATCGGCTCATCAGCTGCTGTATCGTCTGAGGGACCTCTGCCTGCGGGAGCTGGGGTTTGACGACATCTACACACAAGCCAAGGTGAGGACGACACGGCAAGGTAGTGCAGACATGCTGTATGATACTCTATGACAATACAGGACGGTCCATGCGATTGCACGCTATGCCCGTACATGCCACTTCTTGCCCCCACGCCCTTCATGCCCCCATGCCCTTCATGCCCCCATGCCCTTCATGCCCCCACGCCCTTCATGCCCCCATGCCCTTCATGCCCCCACGCCCTTCATGCCCCCATGCCCTTCATGCCCCCATGCCCTTCATGCCCCCATGCCCTTCATGCCCCCATGCCCTTCTTGCCCCCATGCCCTTCTTGCCCCCATGCCCTTCTTGCCCCCATGCGCTTTTTTTGCCCCCATGCCCTTCATGCCCCCATGCCCCACACGATACCTGAATCCACATGCTTGTCTTCCAACAGCTACCCTGCTCATCCTAAGTGCAGCACACTCCAGCACCTACGTTTCGAGACATTGAAAAACGAAATTGTTGGCGCCCTCCAGCACCTACCGCTCACCCCACCACCACCCCACCACCCCACCACCCCACCACCACCCCTCCACCCCACCCCTCCACCCCACCATCCCACCACCACCCCCCCACTACCCCACCATCCAACCATCCCAACATCCCTGCGTCCTCCCAGGATGAATCAACTCGCGCAGCCCTGCTAGTGTTACCATCCGTCCTTGCAGCCATTGATGACATCAGTGATGACGTCAGCCGCTCCGAAGCCCTCATCCGCGGCATGCTGGCCGGCAATCTGGCCGCCTTGGACAGCACGGACGACAGGGACTGGTCGGCAGACTTTCTGACTCTTTCTGACAGTCTGCCGCCCAAGCCGTGGGTTGTGGATGACACAGAGGGGGCGGCGCAGGCATGGAGCAATGGAGGGGAGGACAAATGGAGTAAGGCAAGATCTAAGTGAAAGGGTGGGCGGGTGGGGGTGTTGAAGGGCGCGTGTGCAAGGGGGGAAGAGGAGGGAGGGGAGGCGGGGGAGGGGGGAGGGCATATCAAGGCATGGCACGGGGAGGTGTGTTGTGGTGGACCCATTATGGCATGGGGTTGGGAGATTTGTCGTGTTTGTTATAGGATGGTGGTTTTCTGTGCAGGGGCGGGCGGGCAGTGAGATGGTGGTGGGGTGGCTGGCAAGCCAAGTCGAGCTGATTTCCACCTCCTGTCGACCCGCACCTCCCCCTGCAATTCCCAGGCAGTGATTTTTTGCGCGGGGGCGGGCAGTGAAACAGTGCTTGGGATGCTGCCAGCAGTCAGGGACTTGGCCAAGAGAAACGTGCAGGTGGGTGTGGAGTGGGTGCGGAGTGGCCTGGTGGGGTTCAGAGCGGTGATGTCAGGTACAGTCATCATGCAGATGGTGTTTGCGGTGCTGTTGCGTCTCGAAACGTTTTTACTGTCGCCGTTCTGTACTAATCATCCCTGTGCCAGTCATCGCTTCCCCTCAGGTGATTTTGGTGGCGCCAGACATGCCTTCAGGTGCTGCCATCACACACGAGGACCTGATGAATCTCCTGCACCAGGTCAGGGTCTGGATGTCTCTGTTGCTCCAGGTGGCGGCTATGTTGCACCGGGTGGCATGTCTGTTGCACCAGGTGGCGTGTCTGTTGCACCAGGTGGCGTGTCTGTTGCACCAGGTGGCGTGTCTGTTGCACCAGGTGGCGTGTCTGTTGCACCAGATGGCGTGTCTGTTGCACCAAGTGGCGTGTCTGTTGCACCAGGTGGCGTGTCTGTTGCACCAGGTGGCGTGTCTGTTGCACCAGGTGACGTGTCTGTTGCACCAGGTGGCGTGTCTGTTTCGCCAGGTGGCGTATCTGTTGCACCAGGTGGTGTGGGCCCATGTGTCACGCGGGATAAGCTGATGTAAGGGATTGATATTGAACAGGAGAGGAGGGAGGGGTGAGGGGGGAGTGGGGAGGGGTAGGGGGGAGGGGAGAGGGAAGGGAGGAAGGAAAGGATGCACTGTTCATTCTGCTAATCCGCCTCAGCTCATCTCGGGGCATGTGATGGCACGGTGTGATGCGTTCTGTGTTGGTGTGGCACACCATGGCACGTCATGGCACGGCATGGCACGGCATGGCACGTCATGGCACGGCATGGCACGGCATGGCATGGCATGGCATGGCACATGGCACGGCATGGCACGCCATGGCACGGCATGGCTTGCCATGGCATGTCATGGCACGGCATGGCACGCCATGGCACGTCATGGCACGGCATGGCACGGCATGGCACTGCATGGCACGCCATGGCACGTCATGGCACCGCATGGCACGCCATGGCACGTCATGGCACGCCATGGCACGCCATGGCACGTCATGGCACAGAATGGCACGCCATGGCACGTCATGGCACGGCATGGCACGCCGTGGCACGTCATGGCACGTCATGGCACGTCATGGCACGTCATGGCAAAGCATGGCCTGCCATGGCACAGCATGGCACGGCATGGCACGTCATGGCACGGCATGGCACGCCATGGCATGTCATGGCACAGCATGGCACGCCATGGCACGTCATGGCACGGCATGGCACGTCATGGCACAGCATGGCACGCCATGGCACGTCATGGCACATCATGGCACATCATGGCACATCATGGCTCGTCATGGCACGTCATGGCACATCATGGCACATCATGGCACATCATGGCACATCATGGCACGTCATGGCACGTCATGGCACATCATGGCACATCATGGCACGTCATGGCACGTCGTGGCACGTCATGGCACATCATGGCACATAATGGCACGTCATGGCACGTCATGGCACCATCAGGTGCAAGCAGCAGCGCCTGACGACGCCTTGAGCATCGCCATCAGCAGCAGTCGCATCCTCGTCCTCAACTCCGGTTCGGACCTCCAGGTGTGCTCTCGTCTCGACCTGCAGGTGTGCTCTCGTCTCGACCTGCAGGTGTGCTCTCCTCTCGACCTGCAGGTATGCTCTCTCGACCTGCAGGTATGCTCTCTCGACCTGCAGGTATGCTCTCTCGACCTGCAGGTATGCTCTTTCTTCTATCCACTCCTTGTGTTTTTCCCTTCTTATATCTCCCTCTCTTCCAATCCAGCTCTCCTTTTGAGTCGCCTCACAAGCAAGGGTCCTGTACTGGCTCCCCCCTCCCACCGTGCCCACCAGGCCATCGACCTATCTGCTGTTTCACCTGAGCTCGCCTATGCAGCATCAGATGCTGACGCCATCATGCTACACGGCCAGGTACAGATCACTCAGCTGCTTGCTTTCTACCTGCCAAGAACAAGCAGGCTACCTGCTAACAGTGCGTAACCTGCTTGTTCCCCCCTCCCTAACAAAAGAAGCTTAAGAGGTGGTAACCAGTAACCAGCAGCCTGCTTCTCCACGTGGCTTGGAGGAAACCCCACAGCCCCTGACTGCCTGCCAGGTGGTCTTAGCTGGTGTAGCAAGTCGCCCATCTGCCTTTTCTCTTTCCATCTTCCGCCTCTTCTGCTATTCATTTTCAACATCCCAGGCATTATTTCCCCTTTTTTTATCGTTTTTTTTTTTAACCAGAGCCATGGGTGGGAGACCAACTTTGGTGCACGGTTCAAGTGCCCATCCCTTCGTGTTGCTGTGGTACGTAGCTTTCCAACTTATATACGTATCTCGCTTTTGATGGGAGATCAACGTAAACAAGCGCCAACCACTGTCGTGCTGCTGCGAAACTGCGAATGGCTACAGACCGGCCGCTTCTGATTGGTCGAATGCCGCGAGCCAGTGTATCCATTGTTGAATGTGGAAGTAAGCGCCCCTTTCCTCTCCATGCCTCCCCGCGCCCCGTCTCTCTGAATCTGGTGCCTTGTGCATCCCTCCCTGTCATACCTACTGAAATTTCCCTCACATTCTTTCCATGCCTCCCCCGCCCCGCCTCTCTTTCTCTGCTTGTGCCTGGGCGCGTGTCTTGTCTTGTGCGTTCCTCGCCTTGCCTTGCCTTGCCTTGGCCACTGAAAATATTCACACATTTTGGTTGTTTTTACGAGCTCTTATTCTGTTGTACGTGACCCCTGCTTTTTGCAATGCAGGTGCAACAGCAGGCTGCTGGTGATCTTGGAGAACGGCACTCGAGTTGCGTAGTGAAATACACCATAGCTGTTTAGGAACCTATGTTAATATGTGCAGCTGTAGTAGGTTTCACCTATCAGAAATTGGAGAAGTGAATGATCACTAGTGAGAGTACAGAAAGATATACCTAAGAATTGTACCCTCTAAGAGGTGACCCTATACAGTCTATACAAACATAACGATTACACATGTTTGACACACGCCCTAGACTGCATAGGGGAATGTCCTAAACAAGCAGCTCAGGGCGGCACTACTAGTCCAACCTCTGAGACAAGGGTCTGAGAGACCAGTCAGAAGGAGTACAGACAAGGCAAGAACAAGAGCAGGGCGGCACTACTAGTCCAGCCACTGGAAGAGGACACAAGTCCAGTCCGAGTATACGTATAAAGGATAGTACATAGTCAAGGTCCTAGCAAGTGAGAGGCTACAGGAACTAGACCAAGCTGTACACAGTGCCGCTGATGATCTTTAGGCGCAAGCGCCTTCGTAAAGATATCAGCTGTGTTGGCACCTGAGGCCAAGTGTACTACGCGAGCCTGACGTCGCTGCTGTAGCTCACGCAGGAGGAAGTACCGCAGCTGAATGTGCTTTGCTCTGCCCTCGAGTCGAGGCTCCTGACACAGGAGGATCATGGCCCTGTTGTCAGCGAACAGGACCGGGGCAGAGCTAGGCCGCTCACCTAAGTCAGTGAGCAAGAAGGTCAGCCAGCGGAGCTCCTGTGCCGCCATGGCACCGGCGTAGATCTCAGCCTCACAGCTGGACTGAACAACAGACGAGGAGCGGGTAGCTCTCCACGAGACGGCACCTGAGCCAAGGCTGAAGCAGTAGCCCTGGGTAGACCTGAGTGTCTCAGCGTCGTCTGCCCACGAAGCGTCTGTGTGTCCAGTAAGGACCACTGGACTGCGTCCTCCTAGCACTAACCCCATGCCCGATGTACTAGCAAGATAACGCAGAACCCTCTTAGCGGCAGACCAGTGCTGCGGTCGGTGTCTGCCTGTGGCCACAAAGCGAGCCAGGATGCTGAGAGGGTATGCGAGATCTGGGCGAGTGCAAGTCATCAGGTACATGAGGCAACCCACCAGCTCTGCGTAGGGGCCGCTGGGCTCTACCAACTCCTCAGACACTGGAGCGGAGAGTCTGTGGTCTACAGGCAGAGGGGTGGGCTGTGCAGAGGAGAACTGAAGGCTGAACCTCTGAAGGACCTGGCGCACCAAGTGTGACTGAGTCAGGGTGATGGTGCGCGCAGCTCTGTCCCTGGAGATCTGCAAGCCAAGGTAACGGCGCAGTTCTCCAAGGTCAGTGCACGTGTGTCTCTTCAGCAGCTCTGCCTTCACGAAGGCCAGTGCGTCCCTGTCTGCTGTGGCAAAGACCAGGTTGTCGACGTAAACAAGGATGTAGAACGGAGTCTGGCCAGCACGAACGAAGAGTGAAGGGTCTGCGGAAGAGGAAAAGAACTGCAGGTCAGCAAGCGTAGCACGGAGAGTGTCGTGCCACTCACGGGGAGCCTGGCGCAGGCCGTAGACGGGGCGCCGCAGGAGCCACTGGGTCCCAGGAGGGAAGGTGCCAGTAAAGCCCTGAGGACGACGCAAGTAGACCTGCTCGTGTAGGCTGCCCTGAAGGAAGGCAGTGGAGAAGTCGAGGGAGTGGAGCTCGTAGTCACGCTGAGCAGCTAGGTGTAACAGAACCCGAAGAGTAGTCATCTTCGGGGTCGGAGCGAAGGTCTGGAAGAAGTCCACCCCCTCACGCTGACTGAAGCCTCTAGCCACATAGCGCGCCTTGAAGACAGGCGGCTCTCCAGGAGGGTGCTTCACCTTGAAGAGCCAGCGGCCATCAACTACGTTCACCCCAGGTGGGGGAACTGCGTCGACGAAGGTGCCGGTGGATCTCCAAGATGCCATCTCCTGCTCCATGGCAGCTATCCACTGCGAGGCCCAGGGTCCCGAAGTCGCCTCAGCGTAAGTGCGAGGGGTCGGGATGTCGAAAGCGTCTGGGTCACCCTCAGGGACTAGCAGCATGGAACAGAGATGGGGAGCAGCCTCGGAGAGGAAAGCAAGCTCGAACTGGCGGTCCTCCAGGATGTCACTGCCAAGGGCAGGAGCACCCCCGACAGACGGAGGACAGGCAGGGTCAGAGACCAGAGCGGTGGCGTAGTCAAGGCGGCGGGTAGAGGCGAAGTCAGCGACAGCAGCGACAAGAGCGTCAAGGCACGAGGCCGGAACAGACGGGTCGGTAACGAGAGAGGCAAGGACCCGAGGAACAAGGGGACGAGCGGCACGAAGGTAGTCAGACAGCGGGGGGGGTGCAACAACAAGGGAGGACGGAGGAGGCGACGGGAGAAGGGGAGGACGAGACGCGTGGGAACGAAGCAACATAGGGTGGGAGCGCAAAACAGGCGAGGCAGGACGAGCACGGGAGGGACGGTGAGACCAGACGTGCGACGGAGGAGTCGGGTCAGGAGACGGAGGAGGGGACACAGGAGGGGAACGAGGGGGGAGACGGGCAGGGGACGAGTCCGGCAGAGGGAAGACAGGGCCGTAGACAGGAAGAGGAGGAGACGGTCGGGGAGGAACCGACGCAGGGTCGGGGGACGGAAGGCCGAGCAGGCGAAGGGCTGACACCGGCGGGGACTGCTGCTGCGGCGGCACAACGGCGACACCTGGACCGCAAGCTGCGCCTCGTCTACCACCGGCACTCTCCACACCAGCACCCCCAGAGGGACCACCCCCAGGGCTACCGGGACGAGCACCCCCAAAGTCAGCAAACGGGTGCTGCGACGGCGGCGGCGGCGGCGGTGGAGGGGGGGACTGGGGAGAGGACGCCAGGGGAGGGGCGGCCGGCAAGGACTGAACCGGAGGGCCACCAGAGTCAGAAGACTCCTCAACCAGGTCCAGCGACGGAAGGGGGGTGACGTGGGACACACCAGAGGGGGCGGGACGGGGAGGAGGAGGAGGAGGGGCAGGGACTATCGGGGAAGGAGTGACTAGGAACAGGGGGGGGGTAACCGGGGGACCACGGTGGGGGAAGCGACGGTAGTAGGAGACAGACTCGTCAAAGGTGACGTCACGAGAGTGAAAGAAGCGGTGAGACGGCGGGTGGTAAAAGTGCCAGTCGGACGCGTCAAAGGGAAAACCGAGGAAGACGCAGGGAAGGGTGCGGGCGGTGAGCTTGTCCGTGCCGGAGGCACGGACGTGAGCAAGGCAGCCCCAGACGTGGAACGCAGACGCGTCTCCAGGAGACCCAGTCCAAAGACGGGTCGGCGAAACCTGCGGCTGCTGAGGGTGTGGCCACAAGTTAAGCTGGTGAGAAGCGTAGCGCACAGCGAACGGCCACAGAAAATGGGGTGCACCGGCATGGATCATGGAGGTGCGAGCCACCTCCATGACCAAACCGATGCGTCGCTCAGCGACCCCATTCTGCTGTGGGGAGTCCGGTAGGGTGAACGTCTGGGTGATGCCCTCCGCACGACAAAAGCGACCAAGGACACCTGAGGCAAACTCGCCACCACGGTCTGAGTGAAGACGCAAGACAGGGAGACCGCGGTGGACACGCGCAGAGACAAGCCAGGGGATGAGAGCGCCAGGCACGTCGGCCTTGCGCTCCAGGGGAAAGACTGTGGTGTAACGAGTGAAGTCGTCGACAAGCACAAGGAAGTAGCGCTCTTGACGCGGCCCAGGGACGGGGGCGGGGCCCCAAACGTCCAGGTGCAGGGTCTGCAGCGGCGCGGTGGTAGGGGGAAACGAGGAGGAGTGAGGGGCACGGCGAAGCCGACCCTCGACACAAGGCGTGCAAGGTGGGGCTGGGGAGGAGGGAAACGCGGGGAGGGAACCTGGGAGACCAAGGACGAGACGGTGCTGGGACATGTGACGCAGACGCGGGAGTGCAGGGTGACCTAGGCGGTGGTGCCAAAGGAGGGTCGGGTGAGTGAGGGACCGACAGGAGCAGGCAGCAGCAACCTGGGTGAGCGCTCCAGCCGGGGGGGTCACGGTGTCCAGAGTGAACAGGCCGGACACCGGGTCCCGGGGGAACGTGGACAGGGGGGCACCAGTGGCGGCCTCGGTACAGACAGCATACCGCTCGTGACCAGGGAACGTAGTGGTGATGCCAAGGTCCTGGAGGCAGCCGACACCAACTAGGTTCCTGGAGAACGAGGGGATATGCACACCTGTGAGAGTGCCCGAAGGAACCGCCGGACAGGGAAGGGTGGTGGAACTGCGGGCAACTACGGGACCGCCTGAGGGGTCAGCAAGAGAAACGGCAGCTGGGACAGGAAGCGGCGTCAGGGTGGTGGAGTCGCGGAAGAAACACCGAGAAGCGCCAGAGTCCAAGGTGAAGGAAAGCGAAGCAGAGGCGTCTGGCGACGGAACGACGGTGGAAGCACCAAGACTACACAAAGCAGGGGATCCTACGCCTGACGCAGCAGGGGAGGCTAAGCTAGGCACACCTACACTAGGCAACAGTGAGTAATAGGCGGGAAGCACACTAGAGTCATCAGCATACATCACATGCAGAGCAGAAACAATGGCATCCATGTCCATATAAAAAATATGAATCTTACGACTAAGCAAACTGTGCCAGTCCGGGAGGTCTGGCGACGGGCCGAAGCGCTGACGAAAGAGGTCGTCCAGGCGACGAAAACAGCGGGGAGTGGAGGGACCGATCTTACCGCAGACGAAGCCGCGGCGAGGACCGGTCTGGATCTGGTACTGACAACGCCCGCCGCCAGAGCCACCACTCGGCACACCACCACGCGCCCGACCACCGCCTGCGCCGGGCCACCCGGGCGGGAGGACACTCGTCTGCCGCGGCTGCGACGGCTGCTGCGGCTGCTGCGAAGGCTGTGACTGTGGCGGCTGCTGCGGCTGCTGCAACTGCAGGGGCGGTGGCTCAGCTGGACTGGGCAGGGTCCCCTCGTCCGCTCCAGCACCAGACGACCCGACACCACCACTACCCCCTCCCGCACCCCCGCCGCCGCCGCCGCCGCGCCCAGCCTTGGGGCGGCGGCCCTTCCCCGAACGAAACTGCGCTGCAGCAGCAGTCTTAGCCACTGCGGCAGAGCCGTCGGAGAAGGTACACTGGGCGGGGGCACAACCCTCAAAGATAGGGACCGGCACGACACCGCTCGCCTGGGCGATGGAGCGGTGACGGGTCTCTATCACAGTCAGGGTGTCTACAAAGTCAGTG